TGCTCCCCGGGCACATGCAGGCTGATGGGTCTTTCTGGTGGGTGGTGAAGTCCTGCATGCAGATGTTGCACACAAACACACAGGATGAGGATTCAAAAACTGCCACGATGGGGTACAACACTTTCTCATGTTGCACGCTGGTGTTCTTAAAATTTTAGACACATTTCAAACCCAAACGTTTATCTGATGTGGCGTGATCTGATACGAGGACTGTCTGACGCCATTGAGGCATATTTGTAAACAAAGAAGATGGCTGCCGCTGATGAGGGACTGAATGAGTCTGCTCAGTTTCACCAACGGAACAAATGGTGAGTTAAAGGTGGGGTCGGCAGGATTCTGTTAAAGAAGCGTCTTTTTTTGTGGTGTATAAACAAAAAAACTTTTAATATCAGTCAATAGTTATTAGTTATTGATGACATTTGGATCTCCGGCGCTCCGCTCTTTCTGATTGTAAACAAAGCCATTCTCTACGTCCCCGACCTGATTGGTTATGAGGCAGACGCTGCTCCCCCATGTCGTTCAGGAGCCCAAACAAAGTTAGCGTGCTACAATATCGGACAGTAGAAACCGACCAGAAAGTTCGGAAAATTGTCTGAATCCTCCTTTGGCCACGACTGCCGACACAAGCAAGAAAACAAAGTAAATACCGGAGACTCTGGAGGAATAACGGGCGCTTAAAACGGAGGTAGACCGGACAAGAGCTAAAAAGCCGGGTCAACATAAACGATGGGGGACGCTTGGGGATCTTGGTGACCCTGTAACCTTTCTGCTGGACAGGTAAACCGCTTTAACAAAGTAAGACAAGTGTCTGTAACAGAAGTGTTTCTTGTCAAACGGACCTGCTGTAGCGTGTTGTAGCGCCATCGCTAAACTGTTGACCTCGGGCAAACATTGTGTTTGCTGGTAGTCTGTTGGCATCTACAGTAGCACCAGTGCTTTTGACTTTCACCTTGACTGGGCCCCATTTGTAATGATCTGAAGTATTTATCTGCATTATATCTGAATTTAATCGGAACGATACGAGCGAGCAGGAGCGTCTGTTTGTGGGCGGGGCTTGAGGGGAGAGGAGGAGCTGAGGGGAAAACTGGTTGGGAGGGGTAGAGTTTACATTCAAGATGTCTCCCAAAAACTGGAACTTCCTCAGATCCTGCTTACCCCACCTTTAAGGCGACAGGAGCAGAGTGAATCTCACCCTGCAGAGTTCCTGAAAGGACTTGGAACTTCTTGCAAAGTCCAGTTTCCGTGCAGATGTGTAGTTCTTTCCTGATTCTGGTTTAAAGACTTTGCACTTGTATGTCACATGTTGCACCCATTCACACACCACGGGGGGCAGACATGCAGGGACAGTTTGGGGTCAAGTGTCTTTCCTTGAGCCCTGCAGCTCTCCTCGACGTTGCAGCTCATCAGGCCTGTATTGGACAGTGACCTTACACGGTTTCAGAATAAAATTGGTCGTTTCTTTTAAAGCTATAAGGAGGTCCTGAGGATTTTTCTTGGAGCAGCTCTTCAAACTGGTTTTAATCATGATATATAAAAAAAGCACATCTTACATCCCGGGTTTATAGTGAAGCTCCGACACGTGAGGCTGAAATGAAATATGATTCAGAGTGAAAACAGACGTGATGAAAACGGCGAGATATGAGCAGAATATTGATTCAGAGTCCTCTGGAGGAAAAACCAGCAAAGAAACCGTCAATGGACACAATTATGGCAAAGATTGAGTTTCAGACTTTATCTCCCTCTGCTGAGAGGAAACTCCTCACTGTGATGAATTCACTTCAATCTTTCTTTACTTCCCTCCCTCCTTAAACTCTCCGTCCACTCCTCTTTCTTCGCCTCATTTATCTCAAACTCGCTCCGATCCATCATTTCAGCTCCGACCTTTTCCTTTAGTCTTGGCACTGTGCCATCAGGAGATCTCATCCACCCATCCTCCACCTCCTCCTCCACCGATCTCTGAGTAGATCTGACTGACGTTCGTCTTTGTTTTCAGCCTGAACAGACCCACCAGGAGGGAGTCACAACACTGAAGTCTAAATATCATCCTGAGGCAGACGTGACTTCTGGGTTCAAACTGGATGCAAATTAAAATGTGAGCACATGTGATTTACATGTAAAGACGAAAGAGGAACACGAGTGAAATAAAAGGCTGAGTGAAATTAGTGAGTTGTGCACACCAATGACACAAATTCACCAGTGGAGGTTTATTAAAAGGGATATTCCGGCGTAAAATTAAGTTAGTGTCAAACACACCGTAACACCAAGTTAGACACCCCCTCTTGAGAAATGAGTGTTGCCGACCGCTTGCTTCTCTAGTTATACCAACTTTAGTAACGACCGCAGGATAGCAATACACAGAGAACCACGCTCTCAACCAAAACGCCACTCTATAGCCACAAATAATGCTCAGAACAGCACCTAACTTCATCAACAGGACATATAGAGACTAAACACAACTCACCTACTCTCTTCCAGCAGCTGCTTGTTGTAGCGAGACCTCAGGCCAGTCCATTACGGACTACAGCGGGGTGTCGCAGCTCAAGGAAGAACATTTATGATCATATATGAGCAACATTCATCTCCAGAGGGGGTGTCTAACTCGGTGTTATAGTGTGTTTGACCCTAAATTAATTTTACGCCGGAATATTCCTTCAACTGACCGTGACGGTGTGCAGCTACCTCAGAGCATGACAATTCCAAACGTTTTGCTGTATCTTGACGCAGCAAATGACAACAAGGGTGTCTGTTCGCCGTGTAAGCAGAAACTCGCTTATAACCACTCTACCGGAGCGATGAGAAACCACATCCATAGTAGACACCTCGACGTTAACCTGCAGGGCGAAAATGGCGAGGCCGGGCCCGGCGGACATGGCGGCGGGGCCAGGCAAACAAGCATGAGAGCGTTTGTTCCAGACAGACGCTGTGATGCTCACTGCACAGCTAAGATTTCACAACTGATTTGTGGAATGACTGCCCGCGATATGCTGCCGCTGTCTTCACACAAACTTTCTTCATCGAACTCTGTGGCCCTGCCCCCTGAGGCAGAGGCGTGAAGAACAAGATGCATGATGCTTAATGCAGCGTTTAACTAACTAGTAAAATACTAAACCTTTAATAAATGAGTAGGCGGTTAAACGATAAAACGACTCATCGAGCACATCCCTAATTCAGAGATGCCAAAATCATCTCAATATCACCGTATTTTTTGACGCAAATGAACCTTTTCATCCGACATTAAAGCTCCAGTGGGAAACTTTTGGGTCGTGTCCATTTTGGCGCCTCCCTGTGGACAAATCTGTTGCTTATCTTTGCAGATATTTCCCTCGACACGGTTAAGTTAATTCAGATGCCTGACATGCAGCCCACAGTCAACCTTCTTGTTTTGCATTTGCAGGTCATAAAGAGACATTTCAGTGTAGCAGCCAAAACCTCCTGACTGGAGCTTTAAACTTCTTTAAACACACACACGAAACACACACACACTCGAGACAAAGACAATTAAAAGCACACAGATCGCAGGCAGGTAAACATTAGTCGCTAAAACATGCACGGCTACAAGTACGCCACATTCCCGCGCTCGCTCGTTCGCACTCAATTCCATCCCAGCAGCATTAATCGCTGACACACATCTGCGACTCGTTTAATTACTCACAGTAATTAGCCAGAGGCAGGAGCTAGCAGCGCCGCTCGTCTCTCTCTCTCTCTGTCTGTCTCGGTCTTTCTCTCTCAAGTGCTTCCTAGCCGAGTGTATGTCAACCAGCATGCCAGTGCGGTGCAAAGAGCAGCACACTCCGGCTTTATTATGTTGTGACCACAGTCTGGCATCGCTGGAACGGTTTGAGGACTTTATTCCCAAACTAAAGTGACCCTCTGAACCCCACGTGAACCCTTTTTCAAATCCTCTCGACCCCGAAACCCCCAACTGGGATTTCTTTGTTTTCGAATCATCGTCGACGCTTTTGTATTTTTTCTTTTCTCCTCCAAAACCCTCATCCCACATCCATCCGAGCACTTCGTCCCTCTCTGTTCAGACGGCTAATTGAATTTGCAGCTGACTTTTAATTAAGAGCGGGGCAAATTTGCATAAAGTCTGATAATTTGCATATGGTGGACAGCCCCTCCCCCCTCCGTGTCTGAGTGCCTGGCACCGAGCCAAGAGCAGGGTGGAAACTGATGTGGAGGGAGGAAATAGGAAGGGAGGAAGGGACGAATGGAGGAGGAGAAGAAGAAGGTGAGGAGTCTGCACACACAAAAGAGGAAGACAAACAGCAGATGGAGGGAGGAGGAGGAGACAAATGGGGACAAACAACTAATCATGCTGCAGGAAGAGAGAGAGAGGGGGAGACGACGCATGCAGGAGTGTGACCGCGGCACGAATATCTCCACAGACTCTGCAATCAAGAGAGCTAATTAATAAATCAAAGAGGGAAAATGATGCAATGCATGCTAAACAGTTCAACTCCTCCGACAAACAGGTGTTAATTGGAGACACGATGGCTGTGTGCAAATGAGCTGCATGGTGGACTTGATGACAAGATGCTGCGAAGAGGTGCAGAAACTCATCAGTCAAATAACAGAGAGAGGTGAGAGTCTGCAGGAGAGCGTGCAGCTCCAGTCACTGTGAACTCGCTTATGTTCATTTAAGTTTACAAACTTAACGTTCAAAAATGGATCTTCACTCGAGAACCTCGTCTACGTTCTCACAGGCTCAAGGAAAGTTCAAACTGAGCAGGAACGAACATTTACTCATCTGAAACTATTTACCTTTAATTACCCACTGAGCATTTTTTGGTCTAAAGAGGTCTAATAGACGTCTAAATGTAGTCTAGACGACTGGTCTAAAATCAAGTTTTCAGACGTCTAAATTTAGACCGAGTTTAGACTAGCTTGGGGCTTGATTTTAACTAATAGTTGCTTGTTTGGTCTTGCTTTTATGTATGTGCGAACGCCACCCACCCGATTTGAAGTTGAAGTTATTGTTGGTTTGGCCCTCCAACACAGTTCGGGTTTCTCATGTGGCCCCATGTAAAAATTAATCGCTCACCCCTGATCCAGATGATCTCTGGTCACTATCCTCCACCGAGGCGAATGTTTCTCAAATAGAGGATACCTGATGGGCCACCCAGGTTTATTTTTAACTTCCCAATTTTCAATTTGCTCCAGACACAGAGCAGCAAGATCCACCTTAAAAAGTGATTTACACAAAAGTGAAAAAGATCATTTTCAGTCTTAAAAAGTCCTCAGGTGGGAAAGTTTGTCTGTTTCTTGTCCTTGAGTGGAGAGAAAGGCACTTTCGTCACCTCAGTGCAGGATGAAGAGGGATGAGATTCTGTCAAAACGCAGGAATCACAGCGTGAGCCCGGTCTGACCAACAACTCTGTCACCTGTCCGCTCAAACTTTCCCAGAATAGCCGCCAGAGTGGCAGCTCTGTCGATTCTGCACTACTGTGAGAGGACTAATGACACGCTCAAGTCTGCAGTGTGGTGGTGAAGCTGTGAAGGAATGGCCAAATATAAAAACAGCTGGTCTGGTGCAAAAGTCGATTTAGTTGAAGACGAACGAAAAATCTGTGCGAGTTAAAACCAACAAAGACAATCAAAGTCTGGACGTAAACACCTCGGCTCCTCTCTCTCCGTCTGACTTCATTAGTATCCAGGAAGATTGCAGCTCATTAATGAATGTCATTAAGGCGGGTGCTGGAGCGCTGGGCGGCTGCCAACAGGACGACTGCTGGGCGGCGTGCAGGGAGGGACGAGTCACGGTCGGTGCGAGCGGAGATGCAGCTGCTTCTCTCCCGGACGGTGATTCCCCCGAGAGAGATGGAGGGAGTTGGAGGAAAGGAGTTTGAGAATGTGGGGGTCTCATATAATCAGAATAGGAGGGTCCAGGGTTCGTTGGGGGGCTCGGGGTGTGGGTGTCGCTGGCATGTGCCAGCTGATTACTTCGGAGGACGGGGCACGGCAGTCGCCATTTTGAGGAGCAATGCAGGGAGGCGCCATTTTGGAGGAATTGGGAGTCAGTAAAAGAGCTCATACCCCAAAACCGAGTTCATGATTGACACCTGAGAGGATAATTAATCACCAATCAGGTCACATGACTGCATGAACTTGGCTGCATCGACCTGACCTCTAAGCTGTGACTGCTCCAGAGTTTCAGTCACAAACGAAGGAAACGAGCAACAAGTCTAGACTTTACATCTGCAGCTGAGAATCTATGTAGAATTTCTATGTTTCTGAGGTGAGGAGAAGCAGGAAATGTGAGGAGCAGAGAGCAGGGGAGACGTGAAGGAAAGGGAGTCAACAGTTAGAAGGACTACATCCTCAGTATATAGGGTGACCATATTCTGAATCCCCCAAAAAGAGGAAGACGATGTAGTGGGGGTGGAGTCACAGAGTCGCACGTAGTTAATTTTGAGAGTTTTTCGGGTTGGACCAAGTGTTTTTTACACACTTCTAACTCAGTTAGTTCATGGGGCAAAAACTCAAAACTTTCATACAAAACCGCAGACATTTGAAGGATTTTATAAACTCTCCTGGACAAAGCCGGACAGCCCCCAAAAAAGAGGACATGTCCGTGTAAAAGAGGACGTATGGTCACCCTAGTATAAGCACGTCTAAAATGCATAGACAGTATATTCTATGGACAACTTGTAGTCTTCCTTTGGAGCCGAAAAGCTCTCTGTAATTCTGCAATTTTTCTATATTTCCTGAAACCAACATTGCGCAGTAGCGTTGTGTGCATTCGGCGGGAGAGTCGCTGTGATGACACTCAGCTCAAAACAGCGTCTATAGGGATTGCTGGAGGAGGTTGGATTTATGACCTATACTGCAGCCCGGCCTGCTCTCGGGGTGGTTTCACCCAGCGAGGTGGCAGACGTTGTCCATTCTATATACAGTCTATCCTAAAATATCAATATTTTGCATGTAACAGTATAAGAAACATGCCGACCTGAGGATGTTCAGTAAGTTTTTGTGCTGATTCTGTCCCTGACCTCCAGGCTTTGAGTCAAACATGAAAACCACCACAGCAGCAGCAGCAGCAGCACCCGTGTTTGTTTTCCCCTCACCAGATGAATATTGACACATCCTCACATGAAACGATCCCGGGTCTGTCTGCATCTCCTCAGCTCCCAACTTTCTGTCTAAAAGGAAGAAAACACTCACTTATGCATTCAAGTAATTAGTGCTAATCAGGCATGCACTGACCTAGCAGGCGGCCATATTGATTTCAGAGACTAATCAAGGAAAAAGCTTAATGACATGACGATTAAAGTGCTCCAGTGTGTGAATTACACCTGCTAGGAGGATTCAGCGCGCTGGAAAATTATCTTTAGTTTTTCCTCTGCGGTAAAATCGCTCTGAAGACGGGAGGCGACGAATTCAGCCGACGGTCTGGTTGTTTTTCTCTCTGCAAAAATGATTCATGAAGGAGAAAAAACAAAATCTAAAAGAGTACATTTACAACTTTAATCTTTATTTCTTTAAAATAATATAAAGGAAATTTTTGTTATTATCAATAATACAAGTACAAAAAATTTGGCAGAACACAGATGCATATACAGGAGAGAACATGAGAGTGACAGTAAAGGGAATTACATACGCTTCAAACAGAGAAAGATCCTTGGTATATGATGATGACGGGAAACTGAAGAAAAAGTGAGCCGGCTGATTAAAAAAGGAAAAACGAGGAAGAAAGATGAAGAAATGTCTAAATGTCGTCGTCGTCTATTTGGCACCAACAACAAACCTGCTCTTTCCAGTTTCAGCCAACATGCTCTTCGCAAACATTCTCCAATAAATAAGGCGCTATGAGGGGCCAAAAAAAGGCGGGAAGAAACCTGTGAATAATGTGAATAAGTGGACCAAACAGATGACAAACGTTCACATTTTAAACGTGCATAAATACTTAGTCGTCTTAAATCACTCTTTAGATATTCCTATCAATAAAAAAAAAGACATTTATTACTAAGAGTTTTAAAAATCCATCGTCAACATGACATGAACGTTTAAAGCAAAAACACAGAGACATAAGATCAACTAGAAGATGAGACGTGGCGGATGATAACCCAGAAATGTGACCATGTGTGGTAAATGCTGGTAAAGTGCTGCTTCCCAACATGTCTGCAGAGATTGTAAAGATCAAGTGCAACACTGAATATCATCATCATCATCATCACTTCCCACGTGTGTCGTTGTTGTTGTTGTTATTGCATAGTTCCTCTAAAACAGAGAGAAGTTAAGGTGGACGTTAAGGTGAACTCGGAGCTGATTAAGGCAGATAGAAAGTTTCAGTCCGCTGTGTTCGGCAGAGGCTTCACGTTTGGCACCGCGGGATAAAAATAACAAGAAGGTAAGATGTGGAAGACGGTAAAATCAAGCTGCAGCACGTTACGAAGATTCAAACTTCTCTTCACTCTCTGTGTGAGCGCGACAGCGAGAGAGTAGTGTTTGTTTACGAGCCGACAGACGGACGCGGAGGGTCCGTCTGTCCGGCTGCAGGAAGTCTCTGAAAATAAAGCCCCTCTGGCAGGCCTCTAGGTTTCTGTCCCACCTGTGCGATGGAGATGGATGGAGTGGAGGGTGGGAGGACTGTCAGAGTCTCACAGCACATGATTGACACCCAGGTGAGGTCAGCTGCAGCAAGGCAGGCGTGTTTACATCTCATGGGCAGAAAGGTGGTGCTCCGGGATCCCGTTGGCGTGAGCCACCACCGTGTTGTTCTCGTTGAGGCGCCTGACGCGGTACATTTCATAGTGGATGCTGCTGGTGATGTCCTTAATGTTCTGCATGTGGGTCCTACAGAAACAAACAAACAAACAAATATCAGTCTTTTAGTTTAACTTGTTTGAAATTAGATATCTTAACCTTCATTTGCAGCAAAGCTTTTATTTGTTTTAACTCTTAAACTCTCCCTGATTTTGTTTGGAACAGCTGTCAACAGGTCAAAGTCTTTTATTAACTTTGGGCCAAACTTTTACTCAACAAAAATGAGGTTTTCACGGCTTCAAAGCTTCATACAATGTTAAAAAAGCAAAATATTTTCATTAACTTTCACAAAATATCACAGTGAAATACGTCTGCTGAGACAGACCCGATTAAAGACATAATGACGTGATCTCACCTGATGAGGAGATCCCGTAGATAGGCAAACTCACAGTGGGCGATGTTCTCAACTTAGAGAGAGAGAGAGACAAAGAGAGCAAGTTAGAATACCTCAAGCAAGAATACGAAGAGAGCAAAAACAAGCAGCAAAAGTTAAAACAGCCAAAATACTTCCAAAGGACTGAAGCTGTGAGCTGTTTTTCCTCCACTGTCCACCAGGTGGAGTAAGTGAGCTCAGAGAGAGGGACAGAGAGAGAGCAACAGAGCGAGAGAGAGACTGCATGTTGTCTTAACAATGACCAATGTAGATCTCGATGACAAACAAATCTAAATCAAGTCCCCTCAGAGAGATAAGACTATCTGCTCAAATAAAACCCTGCAAGATGTGTGTGTGTGTGTGTGTGTGTGTGTGTGTGTGTGTGTGTGTGTGTGTGTGCGCGTGTGCAGCACAATGCAGGAAATGAAACTTCCTTAATGAGACACTTGATGGAGGGTGGGGCCTCCTGTCTGAAGTGGATAACATAATTAAATATTGAAAGATGAAAACGTGACGGTGTGAATAGATGTTGAAAATCCAGAGCAGAGTTGGTGTTGATAAATCAGAGTAGTTCCTCTCTTTATCGTTCTCTTCTTCAGTGATTATTGGAGTAAAAATGAAGGAAATTTAAAAAGTTTTACGTCTCTTTAAAACATCTCAGACTCTCTGACGTGTTCCTCTCTGTACGACCACCCGCAGTCACTCAGGGGGAAATGTGAGTCGGGTAAACAAACGAGGCCTCTGCAGACAGACCGGGTCTGCTGCCAGTCTGAAGCAGCTGCATGGCACACGACAGCCGTCTGAAAACTGAATAGAGCTTTGTTTCATTGACTGACTCTGCAAGGTCTCTGCTCGTCTCCTTTTACTCTTCTCCTCTCAGAGAAATATGAAAAACTTTGTGGTCCTCTGCAGAATCTCCTGACGTCCTTGAAAACACATCTGTTTGGTCAGACTCTCGGTTATCTTTGCACCTCTTTAACGCACTTTGTTTTCATCGTTTACATCCTTTGTTTCAAATTGGATAGATATTGCTAAATATTCTTATTTTTGCTCACTACCTTTAATACACTGTGTTCTTATAGATTAAAACAATAACATGCATGTATCTGTGGATTATTATCTTAGAGAATATCTTAAACTGTCCGAACTCTAAATCTGGATACTATTAAAACGTCCAAGTCTGGAGATAAGATATGATGTGGAAAAAATCATGATGTTTTTTCAGTTCTTGCAAGAATCTTGTTCATATTCGAAGCTTAACTAGAGACTTGCTGATGTGATGGATATCAGGACAAACAGAGAGAAGAGTTTCCTGGATTTAGTTCCTCTTAATGGTCCAGATAAGTCAAATATTAGGCCCCAAAGTCACATCTTGAAATATAGAGCATAAGTATTCGGCTGAGTATTATCAGATCTGTGGGATATTATCATTCTTTCTGATAGGAGCATAAAAAGACTGAGCAGACATCAGAAACATGCAGCATGATGTTTACCTTCGATGGTTCCCCATTTGGTTTTCCTTCCCAGCAGCCTCCGACCGTTCACCTGGTACTCCTGATCGCTGCCCACCACAGCAAACGGGATCATCTCCTGAAGAGATCCATCACGTGTAAGTGAAATTACTTTGTATAATCTAAGATTGAACATGAATTATATAATATTGTTGTTGAGGCTCAAAGAGATGTTTCTGGAGTTTCCCTCACCCGGATCTTCTCATTGATCATCCTGTCCTCTGAATCCTCGTCAAACTCTTTCTGAGGGTACACGTCGATCCCGTTGGCTCTCAGCTCTTCCCTGATCTGATGAGGAGAGAAATCAAACTAATTGAAAGGGAAATTTTGTGAGGATACGAGCTAGAGCCTTTAAATCCAGGAGTAATAAGGCCGACGTGTTTAACACCGTCATGAGAGACATCAAACAAATGTACCTAAAGTGGACAGATTAAAGTGGGATTAACACTAATCTGCCGTCTAATCGCTCCAAAAGTTTGGGTTTAGGCAGTAATCGCTGTCTGCGTACAAACATAAAAAAAAAACTGAAAACCTGACATGAGAGATCAAAAACCTGCACAGGGGGAGTCTGGCCTCCACGCTGCTAATGAGAGGAAGGGAAATCCTGTGATCCTTGAAAACGCTGCCAATAAAAACATCCAAATGAACGGCTGCAGCCTTATAAACTGCGAGGAGGAAGTGTAGAAAGTAGAGGGTTAAGAGTGGCGATGAAGAGAGAGATGCTCTGGAGCTTTTCCTGGAATGGAGCCACAGTTTTGTGACTTTTCAGAGAGCGAGAGGAAACAACCACGAGAGAAAACCACAGGAACTTCTCCTCTCTCCGGTTACACCACAAACATGAAAAAAATGCATCCGTGGAGAGGGAGGAAAACAGAGGATGTTTCTGGATTAAAACCGTTATTAGGGAGAGAAGTGGAGTGAAAAAATGCAAAAAAGGAGCAGATGGAGCGAGAAGAGAGTTACCTTCTTTTTGAAGAAGTCCCTCTCCTCCAGGGTGAGAGTATCTGCTTTGGCGATGACGGGGACGATGTTGACCACCTTACTCAGACGTCTCATAAACTCCACATCGAGGGGGCGGAGACTACAGAGAGAGAAAGACAAAACATTTAAGAAATAGGAAAAGAGAAAAGAAACAGCATGAATGTAATACAGACTGATTCCACCAGAGGGCGTGTGTGCCTAACTGTCACAGGTGGAGGGGCTCTCATAGCTGCGAACACACAGTATTTACAGTTCCAGCTGTTGCGTACATGACCTAATCCTGCTTTACAGTGTGTGTGAACAGCTGCGTAATGAGGAGCTGAAGCTCGTTCTCGTAGTTCGACTAAAGCACGTACATGTGGATCCAGCAGCGCTAACAACGCTCTGACAAAGACTGTCCATTGTGAGAAAGAGCACGCTCAGAAGATTGATAGCCTGCTCCCCAACGTTCACGCAGACTCTCTGTCTCGCTCGTCCTTCCTGCCTCTCTCTCCCCCCCTTTCGACTTTTTAAGGCGATCCCTGAGCAGCTGCCGGACAGCCCATGTGACATCTGCAAGGGTTGGATCAACATAAAACGCTGTGGCAGAGAGACAGGGGGCCGTTTCACACCAGCCCCCCGCCTGAGAAAAGACAGGCCGGGACACAAAGTGCAGCTCTGCTCTAGACTGTGTGAGCCCGAGCACGGCAGACAATCCACAGCTGCTTAACATTTTCCCAAGACTCAAGTGGAGTTAGACAAACGCACAAGCTTTGAAATGCATGAATCTATCATTTGACGGGCTCTTCAGACCGTGTGCACCCCTGCCCTAATTCTCTCAGCTCGTACACGCCGAGCCTGTGAACGCCGATCTGTGCCGAGCAGAGAGAGAGAAAAGGCAGTTTATGCAGTCCGATCAGAGCCAGATGTGTGATTCTGTACCAGATCCAGGGGAAGAAATTTGGGACACTGTGCTGCTGCAGGGCCTGGCGAGAGCGCACACCATCTTGAGTGTGTTTGAGAGTGTGTGTGTGTGTGCGTGTCGGTGTCCTGGGATATGTCGAATCGTGCTGAGAGGAAATGTGAAGTGACGTGTGAGTTCAATATAAAAAAAGACAGCAGGGAGAAGATCCACAGGAGTCCTACTGGAAACAATAGAGGAGGAAAACGATAAAACCGCCGTCACTGATCGCTAGAACGGCGAGTGTTGAAGCTTCTTTTAATGAGCTTTTATTTCAAGTGAGGTCAGGGTCACTCTTGATGTCCAAGGAATGAAAATAAACACTTAATGGTTTGATTGTTTTTTGGAGGGTTGGGGAAAGAAAATGAAACAAATATCTCTGCAGACAAACTGAAACAAAACATTTGTTTTTGTGTGTCCTCACCAGTGTCCTGTCGGGGGGATGAAATAAATGCAACAGTGGACCCTGGAGTCTGGGATCCTTTTCTTTCTGTTGATGTTGATCTCCTCCTGCAGGTACGCCTCATACTGGTCGTTGATGAACTTCATGATTGGCTGCCAGCTAGAGATGGAGGGAAGTGATGAGGAAAGGAAGGGGGAAAGGGAAGGGACGAAGGAAAGGGAGAGGAAGAGAGAGGGTAAAAGCAGGACGTGGGAGAGGCTCAGAGATAACAGGGAGATAAAGAAGCGAACAGGAGAAGTGAGGAGAAAAGACAGAGCGTCTGGTTAGACTCAGTCCTCGTCTCGGTGTTTATATTCTGCAGTCTTAAACCTCAAAGTTGAATTATTACGACGCACCAGTTCTCGTTGTTGATCTGATCTCCAAACCCCGGTGTATCGATGACGGTCAGCTTCATTCTCACTCCTTTCTCCTCGATGTCTGCAAAAAAAAATAAACACAAACAAGGTCTGAAAGTTTGTTTACTGCTCTGCTGAAAAAAGCACAGATTCATGTGTTCAAAAGAAGCTTTTTCTCCACCTGAAATGTATTCACAAACGTCTGAATAATCAAGAATAAACTATTCAAACAGCTGCCAGAATGGAAACTTGGCTGCTTTTGTGAGTGTGTTCAGACGTCGCTTAAGCCATGATTACAGTGAATTAAAGAGGATTAAAATGGTTGAAAATTAGGGAAAGGTGGGGTGAATGTTCGGAGAAACTAGACAGGCAGCATGTCAGCTTGTGTAAAAGAGTAAGAATAGAAGAGAGAGGAAATGAATCAAGTAGTAAAGTATAAAAAAGGCTGTTTTTAGGCGAAGAGTCCAGACACAGGCTGAGGAGAAAGAGCGGTGGCAGAGAGGAGAGTGGAGGGGTCGTGGAGGGTCGTACCGTGACTGATGGACTTGATCTCGATTGTTTTGGGGATCTTCTCCTGGGCCGTGGCCAGCACTGACTTACGGCTGACTTTGGACTTGAACAGGGTGTTCATCAGAGTCGACTTTCCCAGGCCGCTCTGTCCTGTGAACCAAGAGAGAGAGAGAGAGAGGCAGTGAGAGAGGATAACACACACACTAACACACACTAACACACACACACATTCCCACAGCAGTTTAAGTCTGAGGACAGCTGCAGGACATCACAGACGTGTAGAAGGTGGCGGCAGTGACAGGCTGCAGGTGTGTGAATGCTTAAACACTGTCTGCTGATCCATCAGTGTGTGTGACAACAACCTAAACACAACATCAGGAAGACAGATCACATTCTACCCTCTCTGTTTCTGGACTTAAAGACACAGATAAATCACACCAAGAGGAGTCTATACATCTCTGTACGTATCTTAACATCATCATTCCTCATGAGAGTTTTTCATCCTCCGCTGTGGGATCATTTTAAAGTTTCCATTAGCAGCTTTACTGCTTTACAAGACTCGAGTAGAACCGACATTATAATAAACTGTTTCTCAGGATGAGAGCATCTCTGACCCCCCGAACAGCATGTGAACATCTTCACAGGTTAATAAAGAAGAGTCTGGAGGGCCCCGCTGTGTCCCACTGACTGATGGACAGACGAGATTTATGGTTCAACTTCAGGTCAAGTCAACATCAAGGCTTTTCCTGATTTATGAGGACGGACAGAAGAGACCCACGCACGGGTATTAACAGATTTTAGCACATGCTACGCGCAAGCGTGGATTTATACAACTGGGATCCAATCTATAGCTGCAGAACAAGTTTTAGAAAGATAGAAATTTGGACAGCCGCCGCAAGTGAGGAATAGTTGCAAAAATATGGCAGAGAATCAGGACAATTAAGACAAGACAAAAAGCAGCATTTTAAACCAGCACTTTCCTTATTTGTCTTTATCAGATGTATTATGTAATAATATGTGTTGTGTAATAAGAGCTTAACCTGCTCCAGAATGAATGTTTTTGAATGTTTATAACAGTGTTAAACTACAGAACATCAAATCTTTAATAGTTTTAGTTCACATGCTCATCACTAATCCAATCACTCTCATTTTCATGTGCTGTGATATCATTTCATCTGAGCGCTCGGTTACACACAGAAACCGGTTTGTTCACTTTTGTTTACTGCAGCGTCGAGGACTTTCTGAACCCTGAGGCCACTTCTTCTTCTTCTTCTTCTTCATCATCAGGCTTTTTTATTTGAGGATGAAACACAGACCGACCGGCGCGACATCATCCAGAGGAGACAGGCAGCACAGAGGAGGTGTGTGTTTTATAGTAGACTGTCTGCCTGGGAGCTGTGTGTGTTTATGTGTGTGTGAATGTGTGTGTGTGTGTGTTGTAATTAGCTCCTGTTTTTAACGCGTCTGATCACAGTGATGAGGACTCACTCAGACACTGCTTATTAAACGTTTAAGGTCTCCATTCCCAGTCCAAAGTTTGATCAGAGAGGAAATCTGAATAAGAGGACACATGTTGGAACAGCTGACTGGAGATAAATTTAGATATACACGTTTAAGTCTCATCGTAATGGGCAGACACTTGATGTTTAACCAAACCGAGAGTCTGCACTTGATTACAAGGCCCAAAGAAACAGAAAAAAATGCCCTGTAATTAAAAATGCATCTTATCAGGGTGTAGGATAGGATGTGCATGCTTTGGCAAGAATCTCCTGCAGTTTAATCTCTAGTCCTTGTTTTAGCGAGCCCACCGTCAGGATTCAGGAGCTCTCCGCTGTGTTTAAGGGTTAAGAGATCATCCTGCTGAGACAGAAACCTCTGCTGAATCAAACTGTAACCAAACTATCAAATTAAACTTTTGTCTTTTTAGATAAGTTACTGTGTTATAAGTCGTGTCTCCAGCTGTTTGGCTGCGTGTTTGACGACTAAGAGTCGACACAGAAATCTAAACCAGGCTTTACAATGGAGCGTCATCCAAAACCCTCTAATAAACTGTACTGAGACCTTTCATTTCTGGGTCAAACAGCATCGTAAACGTCAAGTTAAAGCAGTAAAAATACACTTTTATAAAATCCAATTTGGCTTGTCCTGAGCTGCACTAATTTTGCACTTTGTGTGCGTCATCCTAGGGCTGGACGATATGGCCTCAAATCAATATCACCATATATTGATCAGTTTACCTCGATAACGAGAAATGGACGATAACTGCTCCACAAGCTGCTCACCCCCTCCCACATTAACTTTGTCTACAAGCTGCTACAACTTTCTCTCCGTCCTCCATCTTCTCAACTGTCTTTCCCTCTTTGTTACGGACTGGATGGGGTGGAGTCACGTCTCTGACGTAGGACAGCGTCTTAAAGGGACATGAGACCATAGCCTACCTACACACATCCAAAACCAACTTTGATTTATTGGTTTTTTGACACAGAATATACCAATATGGGCAAAAGGACATCAGTTATTGTAAATTTCTATATCTGTAAATTTTCTGTTTATCGCCCAGCCCTACATCATCCTCATTAGACGATCTTCTTAACCTCTAACCAGTCTCTCCCTCTGCGCCATTGTTTCCCTGATCCCGATTTTCACTCCGGCTTTCAGCCTCCTCAGCCTCCTCAGCATCCACAAGATATCATCTCATCACTCCTTGAATTTCTGTATATAAACTCAAACTGCGCAGAGTGACGAGGCGCCAAACGCGAACCATCTTACAACAAACATTTCAGACCATTAAACCTGAGTTGTTTGCAAACAATACTCAACTGCCTGATTACATGAACAATTACTGCTGAAATAACATACAGATTACTGTCTGCAGCTGAAATGAATTCAAGCATGTTTGTTTGTTATGATGGCAAAATGAAGAGAATTATAAAATAACTCAGTGGAAACACAATTAAGCCCTGAAACAGAGAGCGAGAGAGCGAAGAAAGAATATTCAGTTAGAGGAAGAATGTGATTCAAATCTCCTCAGGCTTTGAGCTTCTGTGCAATGAGTAGTTAGCAAACACCTGGATCAAGATTATACCTCACAAAAGAGGTTTTCAGTTACAAGAAAATCTCTAAATACAAGCTTTTCCCATTCCAAATGTAATGTCCCAGATTTGAGGTGAAATCATGTTTTAAAGGACGCTGACTCTGACTCTCTTACCAACAACCATGATGTTGAGCTCGAACCCCTGCTTCATGGCCTTCCTCCTCATCTGCTCCAGGATGGCGTCGATGCCCACGTAACTGAAGTCCACCACCGGACCCCCGGCCTTCTCCCCGTACAGAGCGCCCACCGCGGGGGACACCATCGCTTCAGGCACCACCGCCTCAGACATGGCACTGCTGTTGTAGCTGGGAATCACCTCTGGTCCTGGTTGGAGAGAGACGAGAATGAGGAGGTTAAAGAGAAGAAATGATGGATGTGACTTCAACAAGAGGTAAAATAAAATGAATTTCTGTTCGATGTAGAAGGTACAGTTCCCTGTTCTCGTCCTCCAAAACCAAACTATCCAGCAATCCTACATCGTAGACCTGTTGAGTTGCTTCTCAATCAGACACACGCTTCATAAAACACTCCCCTGGTTTTCAACTTGGCCGGTCTCCCTCAAAAACAGATTTTTAACTCATCAGAAAACTATTAAAATAATCTCTGCTGTATAAAAGCAGTTTGCACTTGGCAGAGGGTTATCCCTGCAGTTTGTTTTGACAACGATTAGCTTAATGTCTTTCCTTGGAATGCCTGCAAATGTGTGTCCAATCAGAAGAGAAATATTCATCATTTTAAACCCTCTGTCAGGACACCGACACGCCTGTAGAGAGTAGCTGCAGCTCTGTTCAGCAGTGTGTAAAGTCAGCGTAGGTGTGAGTATGTTTGCGTCTGTATGTACGGCGGTTCGTGAAGCTGCTGCCCCCCTCGCAGGGCCCCTCTTTCCTCCTTGTTCTACAGTGTGCAGAGTTACTGTCCTGTTAATGGAAGAGTGGAAAAGACAGAGACGACAGAGGCTGAAACCTGATCCACTCACCCACATACCCCGGGTCAAACACACACAAAAACACACACACACAGCCAGAGTGCATGCTTGGGTCTCAGCCTGTGTCTTTGCACAAATACAGAACTTACAAAGGTAAAAGAAAAGCTTGATAAAAACGTAACAGACGTGAATTCATATTTCAGTCTGACCTTATGCCACGTTTGTTATATCGGGTTTTATAACAGGTTTTGTTCTGCGGCCAGTAGAGGGAGCTCCAACTGTTTTGGCTCCACTTTCAGGGAGCTATCACAACATCCATCTTTTCAAACAGCCTGTGGCGCATAAAAACATGAAAACACACGGACCATCAGTCGAGACTCGCTGCCAAGAATTAAACAGCTTTTCGTGTCCAGCTAAAAAAAAACCCGGCCTGCCAGGAGGAGAAGAAATCCAGACAACAAACCGACTCACTCAGGGAATTAAATGGACAAGAAGTGAGAGCGCTGCTGCCAGAAAAAGTGCACACACTTCAACCTGGCACTGCGATGATTAATCGGAGAACTGCAGAGAAGAATAACAGTGGTGTGGGAACTCGACGGTGCTTCATATTCAGCTCGGGTTTGTCTTTATAATGTGCCTCTTTGTGTGTGTCTGTGTCACAGAGACCCACCTATGGAAGCAGCTCTCCCAGCCTCCTTCACCACTTCCTCATCCTGTTCCAGCAGTCAGTCAGCAACTTGGTCTGCCCTCCACCTCTCCTCTGCTCGCCTACATTCCTCTACCTCGACTTGTCTCTTCACTCCCACCCCCCCCCCTCTTCTCCTCACTGCCTCTTTTTATCTTATCTCTTCTGTCATCAGTTTCCCTCTCTTCTCCACCTCTTACTTCTCTTCTGACCCTGCCCCGTCTTTATTCTGATCTTTTGTCCTTTTTTCTGAAACTCCCCTAAATTCTTTGATTTCTCTCATCCCCACCCAGACAGCTTTTGTGTTGATTCATCTTCCTCTGACCAGTCCTCATGTCAGCCCTCCTCCTCCTTCCTCTGCTCCACCCGTGCCTCTGTGTCAGGGATGTGCTGTGAACAGAGACGATGGCCCCGGGCTAGCACACCTTTACATGCGAGGCTGTGACAGCCAAACCTCACCTGAGGCAGGATAACCCGGACACATCAAAGAGAGAGGACGTCAAAGGAATAACAGGATCACCTGAGAGTAAATATGAGCCTCTGTCCTTTCAACTCTCATTTAACAGCCGTTACATCTGCAAACCATCAACAACAGATCACTGACATCAATCCTGTCACCAATACAAATGGTCCAGTGCATCTTTTAAGACTTTGACTGGCAGAAAATGGACATGCAAACCAATAGTCCTGTCTTTTAAAACAGATTTTTCATCCTGAGTTGTCCACTTCAGTTAAATTAAAAAACCCCACAAGAAGGGATAAACTGAAAATTTACTGATACTGAAAGTACACGGTTAATGTTTGAAACAAGAAATCCCCTCAGCTTCTTTACTGTGGTTCTTGATGGAAATCTGCTGCACCGTTTGGGACACCAGACCGGAAAATAAAAGGAAAGACTGATTATTATTTAGAGGAGAGGAAATCACAAAGAGAGCAACTGTCCATGTAAGTCAAGTTTAGTCTCAATGTTTGTGCATTTGCATGTAGTTATGCCCTTTACAGCACATCAGCAAAGTCAGAAGCCGAAGTTTAACTGTATCTTTCTGCGTTTTGATTTAACAGCTGACTCAGAGGTTCAGTGAGTTTTTAAGCAGATTAACATTACAAAAATATAAAATCTTAAAAAACACAGAGCATTATAAACAAGTACCGCAAAAAACATCAGAGTCAACTAAATAAAATAATATTTTAAACATCAACATTGGAACAAATTTTATCTAAACTTGTGTATTTAATATCTGCTTGAATGAGCGAGTGCACATGACCTATTTAGCTGTAGGATTCAATGAAAAAAAGGGTATGTTTGCTCTAATGGATTTAACCTGAATTCATCTTGTGTTAACACCACATTAGTCTCAAGTTAGTATTCATTTTTCGGGCTCTGTGTTGTCCCTTAATTTCCTTGTTCGGTTACAGCGCACTGAGAAGACTACCACAAACATCTACGCTCTTAACAAACTGTCTGTTCTGTTTCACTCAGAGTAAACACACATAAATCTCCCGGTGAGGTGAGAAATCCTGCAGCCACCAACAGACAAAGTGAAACAGAGAGAGACAAAAGAGCGGGAGAAATGAATCCTGCATCTTCACCAAATGGTTTCCCAGAGAGAAGAAGCAAACCTCTCCGAGGTATCGTTTAACTGTCCTCCGTGAATACGCGCTGACTGCCCCCTTTCCCCGCATTAAAGAAGAGTCAAACACTGTAAACCACTTGGCAAACATGCAACACATAGAAAGAACACAAGGTCCTGAAGCATCACTGTGGGAAACCGAGCTCCACACCAAACAATGGAAATAAATCTCCTCTGTGCCAAGTGGTAAACTGAGTCAACGCAGTGCCATGAATGTCGGTAAAACTACAAATCCCACAGTGGAGCTACACGGATATAAGAATGCCAGACTGTCAGAGAGCCAATAAAACCAGACCGGTGAAGGACTCAGGAGTAGCTGATCGTAAAACATCTGGATGAGCTGACCATTAATCAGACGGAGGTATTCAGACTCGCAGCTTTTCCACGATTTCCTGCCAGAGAGCTGCAGACGTGTAACTGTGCTTAGCCAGTAAACACAGGTGTCAGGAGACGGCTGGGTGGAGCGTGACCCTGGAAATGTTAGCAGACATTTGACCTCCACATAAAGACCCTGGTGGACTACCAGCTGGACACCGCCTTCTCCCTACAGGACTGAAAATATACAAGTCAAGCTAGGGTGGAAATACCAGCCAGCAGTGTAGGAAAACCAGGTTTGGTTCTTACAGTCATGAGCTGGTTCTAATTCAAACATCCACAGTAATAACTATGTCAATGAGGTCAACTGATCTGGCTCCACCTTTTCAAAACACTTAGGTAGAGTTTATAAATGCTGCACTAATATTCCTGCGGTCCGACTGCTGACTTTAACAAACACATGCTAGCTTTGCGACATATTTGTGAACGAGAGTGACCCTACCCAGCAGCAGCAGCAGCCCCACAACCAAGAACAACAAACATTTGTCCCCATAACCGCAAAGAAAGTAAGAGCACGGTAAATAAATGTCAGAAATCCAGATTCATCATAGAGCATCTACAAAAACCCTAAACTCTGCAGCACAGCATCTCTGTGTATGAAGACTGAATCATACGGAGTGAAATAAAAACAACAATTTGATCATTTCTCAACAATCTAGCCACAAAGTTTCAACATGAGAGTCAAAGGATTCAGGAAATCAAACCTCATCCAAGTGTTAGCATCTGACCGCCCCCCCACAGCATCTGTGTGACTCTTCTCCTTTTTCAACAGCACCAAGAATTCATCCAACTTTGACGTCTTTGTAAAATTGCATCAATTCAACTGCATAATTACCGTAAACTTTGAAATATGACTTTCATCAATATTTGAGATGTTACATGTTTTTTGGGGGCTGCCAGAGGAGAAGAGATTTACTGTCGACCAGCGTGAGAACTCTCTCTACGTTCAGCAATGTGTACTTTCCATGCAGCTGTGTACCTCTGTGTGCAGTCTGTTTCTGAGCCGTGCAAGCTACCTGTATATGGCAGTAGAGCTCAGATTGTGTTACTGATAATTGTGAGGTGTGGACTCGCTGCCTGAGACTTCTGCCACCTCCTGCTGCTGGTAACTTGCCAATGAAAAGTCTTTTCAGTCAAACCACAAGTTTTTGGAAATACATCCATACCACTGTTCCTACACTTATTTAGCATATCAAAAGGAGACTGGACTATTAGCCTGGTTGGAGGTCTGACCTCCTGAAGTGTCTCTTTTGTTAAGTCATAAGTCTTACGTTGTAAAGAAATATTAAATCATGTGAACCAGAGCTCTAACGTCTCCTGACAACGTCTTGTACATCAAAAAAGTCCCCCACACATGCTCCCTCGGCTCTACTTTCAGAGAGATTTTCCTGTGTATCAGGTCGAGTTTACGGGACGGCGTAGATAATGCATTTCTTCTGAGTCTGTGAGAGAGCAAAATTAATTTTAGAATTTGGAAAGCGGAGAATGACTCATAAGCTCGCTGTGATCCTGTTTTCAATTACAGCCACTGAAGAATTTTCTTTTCTTGCTCGCAGCAGCATCAGGTTACTTTGCTTTCTGTAAATACGGCCAGAAATCTCCAAGTCCACAGCACATTTGGAGAGGAGAAAAGGCCAGCACAAAGACGAGAGCAAAAAGATAAAGAGGGAAGAAAAAGTTTGAGAGTGGCACAAAAGATGTCCAAAATAAAAAAGGATTAAAAAGGAGCAAGGGGGAGTAAAAAAGATAGTCAGGAAAAGAGGAGGGGGAGTGGAATGAGGGAGGGAGGGAGGAAACAGTAAAAAAAGAAGCCTGTGGAGAAAAACTATCTTGATTTATTCCTCACAGACTCCACACAGACCTCCAAACAGAGATTTAGATCCAGCAGAAACCAGATTAAACTGTCCCCGTTTTCTGCCCTACAATAAAACTAAGAGGAACTCTGAAGAGCGCTCTGACTGTGTTGTCTATGTTTAGTGAGATGTGGTTGAAAACCACCGAGCCATGCCTCAGCTGTCCGGGGTGTTGATCTTGACAGCGTGGCGAGCGGGTCAGAGGTCGCGTTCCCAGTTTAGGTTGGAAAAGAGGAGCGCTGAGGTTTGTCCTCGAGTGACAAACCAGTGATTTGACCTTTAGTTTAACCCGACTTGAGTCACAAGAGAGGAATCTGTCGAAAAGAAAAGGAAACTGGAAAATTGGACCCCCGAGAAGTTCGATTCTGGGAGAGTCATTTACTCTCTGTTTTCTTTAAACTCTGAAGACACTTTCAGCGTACTGTGATGTAGACAAAAATGACTCACTTTAATAATGCCCTCTGTAAAATGCATCACACAAACTTCTATAACTGTTTAAGATCATGCTGTAAAAACAGTTTAAGGGGACACTCTTAATTTTCATATATATATAATCATTTCATAAATATTTTACAACATGATACTCAACTCTATGGTCGATTTCTGTGTCAATAAATATTGCCATTCAACTGAGTGAGGTTTTGCAAGAGTGACTTCCAACTTTGTGTCATTAAAACAGTAGTTCTCATAGGGCCTCTCAAAGACCATGCAATTCACCACTGCAGGTGAGTAAAACTTTCTCTGTTGTCTGGAGTGCATCCTCCATCTTTCCTCTCAGTCTTCTCAGCATCAAGAGCAGGAGTCATTTATTTCTCTTTCTCTCTTGTGGTTTTTAAAAGTGTCCTACCAACTGTCAATCACATTCATGTCATCATCAGGAGCATCGAGATCGAGGAGGAGTCAGAATGTGCTCCTCATGCAGAGTGATCAGATCTTCCTCCTCCATCTCAGTCAGAGCACAATCACTTTTAAGTGAAGTGTCTGTAGCTTCATGACATACAGCCCCCTGATGTCTTTACCCTCTTAGTGTTGAGCTCCATGTAAAACACAGATTGGAGTACTAATCCTCTAAATGGGTCGTTTGCATATTTGCTCTGGTCTAAATCTTTTTATGGGCCTCTTAAAAACATCTGCTCCTCTTCTCCTTTATTTACATTCCCAGACAGGACAAAGGAGGTTTGTCGTCTTCTCGCATCTTTGCATGACCACTTTTTGTTTTTCTGATGGTGACCCAGATGCTTCTTCAGAAGTGCGTGGGCTGCTGCGAATCTTTTCTTAGTGAGAAAATCAAACAGGTTCCTGCGTATCCTTTCAATGATTCCCAAGCTCGTTTTTTCCAACAGAGGAGGAGACCGTGTACGAGCACAACTCAGTTCCATGTGAAGAAATGTTCGAAAAGTTCACGTGGACAATTTGATTGCACCAAACTGGGTTTCCGAGCAGCCCTCCAGCACAGAATCAATTAGATCCTCCAGACCACAAGGGTTTGGGACGGACCCAAGGGAGGGACATAGACACGCATCTCCGCACACCCAAACACTACTTTCCCACCCTCTGACAGGGAATCCTTTAATGAAAAGAGGAAATTGGAGTGGTGGCAGAGCAAACATGATCTGTTGTGTTATTATAGTGTTTGTGCAATGTGAGGCCGAGTTCCCAGAGTCCTCATCGTACAGCTCATGACCCTGCAGGGTGCAACTCACTCAACACATCCACTACAATCTGAATATGTATACGTGTTTGTGTGTCAGATAAGGGTACGCTCCTCTATTTTAACCGTGACATCCTGGATTTCTCCTCTTCACAAGACAGTAGAGTGTGCATGTCTGCACGTATGTGAATTAAAATATTATTATAATTCAATACTATGTGCTGCTTTTACAACTGCTGCATAAAAGCAAGGCCACACTCAAGCTTGTGCTGTTATAATAGATATAAAAGGAGTGTCATTTATGTTTGCATTAACGTGCTGCACCTTTTTTTTTCTCGGCAGCCCAATTTTAAATGTAGCTTTCTGAAAAGTATTGATGTATTTATGTTTTTGCACCACTTAAAAACACACTCTACCCTGCAAATGCACCAATTTCACTATTTCAGTCTTGGTGCTTTAAGAGCCTGATGCGTCCATGTCGGTGAGGGTAGCTTCAGCATCTCCAGTTACTTTGCAGACACTTGAGAAATGTTTCTAAATTGCAGTAAATGACAGTAGAAGCCCACAGGTTCGTCTAGACTGCCAGAGGAATTTGTTCAGTCTCTGCATGCAGCAGTGCACAACAGAGCTGTTGTCTTTCTAGGCTCTTCAGCTGCCTGTGTCATTAACAGACACACAAGGAAAAGATTCTTCCGCTGACACAAAGCATTTGAACGATTAAATCCATATTTCATGGAAAAAAAGGCGGACTGAACCTGACTGTCCGGCTGATCAATCCAAGGCTGATTTATTTACTTTCTTGCTGAACAGATTTGTTTAAAGGAAGCAGCTCCTCTGTTACGACATTCCTCATTGTGACCGATTTAATTTTCAAACTTTAAAACAATATACAGACCCAAAGCTCCGAAACATTAACCCTGAAGTGTGTTTACTCAAAAACCAAATGAATCAGGAAGTCGCCAATTTTCTGAAAAGGCGATGTCCTCCACAGAGAGACTGAAAAATGACATTATCTGATGACAGGAGTTGTTGAAAGTCATTATCCAGGCTGTGCTAGCCGGGCAATGTGGATGCGTATCTTATCTCATCTCACCTGTGGGTCAAAGTGTATCAGCGAAAAACGCTGACTGACAGTGAGTGAGGGTCCGAGGCCAATGGAATCTAACCTGTGTCCTCAAACATACATCACATGAGTTCAAAAGAGTCGAACTTATGAGACGAGAATTATACATGCAGAAATCTGTGATGGGCAGCAGGAGATGAATGACCAGGGAACTACTTTCATGTGATAAATTAGAGGGTGTAAACGAGGAAACTGCAGCTTGGTGCACTTCTGCTCAAACCAACAAGCTGGTCAAGCAGTTGGGATACTCTAATTCACCTGATCCAGTTCTTGTGAGAATATTGAACAGCAAGTCCGATCGGTAACTTGTATTCAACTAAACATTAGAGCTCTACATTCAAAACAAAAGCAGTCACATCATGTCGTACATGATCACGTTTGGTGTCACAAACTTTACTGGACAGTTCTGGTCAGGTGGTGTCTGAGTGGATGTAGTGTGGTGACAACAGGAACTACAGTGGATCCAAAAACCCAGAATAAAAGGCAAAAACCTGCTGTCTCTACCCTGGAGATAAGTTTGTTTTCCAAAGACACAAGTCCGTCCAACCACCTTCTCTTTTACCCTCTTACTTCAAATGTTGTATTAGATGGGTAACGTTCAAAGTAGCTCTCTGCAGCTGCTGCCTTTAAAGATGATTGTGCTCTTCACACTTGGAGTGGCTGTTGGATTGTTCTTGCTTTCTCTCACACTGTTAACATTTGAGCCCCAAGGTCACTGATGCCCCAAATTCTGCTCAGTTTACAGCAGCTGGCGTAAATGATCCGGGAGAGATGATCAGCTCTCACTGCTCAGTGTCAGTAACATAACTGAAGAACGGCTACCAGCCTGAGCACAGACCACTACTGTAAGGCCATTAAATGCTAAAAGCAGATTTGTAACCCAGACGCCCAAACAATAACGAGGACTAATGAGATTAGGAGGCACAGTTTGGTTTTCAGAACAATAAAGGAGGTTGTTATCTGTCGTCTTATGTTCACAGATATAGACCTGGCTCCTGAATTCCATCAGATATACAAATCCAGAGCTAAGAGTGAGCCTTATTACGTTTACAGAGATTAGGGTTATTGTTGCTAAAACTTCTAAACTTTCACTCAAAAGGCTCAGTCACTCGTTTTAGAGCGTTAAAACATCTCTAATCACACCCATCAGATGCTGCTGTCTCCGTGTAACTTTGCACACACATGTCCATCAGTCTGTCAACAACACAACCAGCAGGAGTCCTTTGGCTCACTACAAATCCTGGTGCACGAGTGTGTGTATGTCTGTGTGATACCAAGCCTGTCACTCTGAACCTCCTCAGGCTCCTGGAGCAGTATTTATGGACTGTGACTGACCCACATACAAAGCTCGAGAGTACAATACACCCAGGAGACCAGACTTCTGGCCGTGATTATTTGCCAAGCGATGAGGGTTTCCTGAACAACAGTGAGATGATATTTTCAGACACTTGGTGCATTTAATCCAGGACTCACTATACGGTTATTTTGGCATTATGGCTCGTTTGGAAACTTCACTTCAGTATTTCTGTCAGCATTGAAATAACCCACTTTAATTAGAGATGGTATACTCCGTTTGGGGTCAGACGAGGTACGGTAACAGCCCAATCCAAAGTGTCTACATGCCATAATTTGTGCACCACTGTCTTGTGGTCTTTCAGTAGACAGACTCTTATTTCCAAAACATCATCTGACACCTGTAACCGCACCCACCTCACTTTCACATCTTTACAAATTGCACTACCACACGATTGAAAAGTCTAAGCTCCTATCCTGAGATCTTACAGCATGTCAAGCTGCAGAGATGAAACTTTATCTTAAATTACAGAGCTTTGGTCACATTCATGAAATATTTTGCATTTCAATGCTGTGATGCAGAATTCCACGTTGGATGCATAATCTTACCGCATGGACTTACAGCCTGAAAGACGAGACGCAGAAGGTGACGATGACCTTTTCAGCGTCCCGTCAGACACTGGTGAAAGGCCACTGTCTGTCCTCGCCTGGCAATGCAGCGAGGCACAACAGAGCTCCTTTCAACAGCTGTGTGTGTCTCAAAGTGTGTGCGTGCAAAGAAGAGGAGGCTAACTCTCCTAAAGGTGAAGGTGAAGGTTGGTTGCTGGTTTCTATCAGTTAATAAAAAAGGGGGGTGATGTTTCGTAATCTTCAGAACAACCCTGAAGAAAAAACATCAGGATGATTCACTGCAGGGGGTTGTTGTTGCTCAGATTTCATACACTCTTTGTGTTTAAAACCGACAGTGGTTGATACTTCTGCATTGACTCTATGCATGAAGTCGTAGAGGCCAACACCATCATTACACTGGAGTGACTCGTCACTCTGCAATACTCCACCAAAATGCTAGTTGGCAGTGTGATTTCTGTGCTCGTCATACCACAAGTTTAAGAATCTGATTTGTGCACAGGAAACCATGGCAACTGAATCCAACTGTGTGATGTTTAAGTTAATAAGTGTTGAGAAGCAGTCAGATTACTGCAAGTACTGCAAAGACGAAAAGAGAGAAGGACGTCAGCGCAGACAGCTGTTGAATTTGTGTAGTCAGGGGACAGGGGACAAGGGAATTTCTGTTTGGAAATGCAGGAAATACGACGGTACCCAGTGGGCCAATCAGAGGGCTTTTGGCCTGTGTTGTTTCAACGCATTTGTTTCAGTTTTGAGGGAGTGCATGTCAGGCTTCGTACAAAGGTTTCTGCGTAGGTACAGGGTAAAGTGAAACTATGACGTATGCTGCAGCACTGCAAAGAGACTCATCAGACATAAACCTGGAATACAAACGTAAACTCTCCAAAGAAACTTCACTGGGACTCAGACGCTCAAACAGAACAAGAAGAACTATTTCCCTCAATTTCAACATGTTGTTTTCTAGAGAATAAGGACTTGTTTCCACAGATTTCACTTCACTGCTAATGAGTCTTTCACTGGACTTTCCAAAGCAGAAACTAAACTTAATGATTCCCTTCAGTCTACTGACCACATGTGGGGAGCTAACCTTTAACTCTGCAGCTCACACACAAACACACACACACACACAAACACACACACACAAACTGCGAAGTGTACATAAGAAACCGTTGTCAGAAACAGCAGAACAAAACACGTCCAATGTGGACAATGTCAGGAGAAGGAAACCATGAAAATACAGAGAAGTCTCTCCAAAGAGTTAGAAGAGAGGACATGATGATACAGCTTTCTGTATACACAAATATGTGTGTGTGTTATGCAAAGGCGGATTGATTACAAAGCTTGCCACAGAACACACACACATAAATTAGAGGGATGAAGGGCAGAGGGAATGAAAAGTCTGAACAATAGCAATTAGCACTAGAACACACACACACACACCATGGAAAACGCGCTGAACTTCAGAGCACAAACTGAAAAACCTGAAGTGAAAAAACTTTTGGGGTTTTGCAGCCTGCATTTAAAAAAAAAGGAAAAAAAAAACACAGCTTATTAAGCTTGACGCAGAGCTGCTTAAAACGACAGTACAATACAGACACGCAGAAACAGCTGGGCACTGGAGTCAAATATGGAAAGGTATGCAGAGATATTTATCAACTAAAGTCTGAAAAAACAACAGATGATCAAATCTCAAAAAGGAGGGGAAAACGTGCAACAAGAAAATTAACACACAACAAAAGGCGACCCGTCATTACTCCCTCTTTTTGCAACCGCTTCCTCACAAACACATACGTGCGCACATTCTCTACCGGTATGTAAAGCACTCACCGTGTGAAGTGTGTGTGTGAGTGTGTGAGTCGTCCCCTCTGCCAAAGTGCAGCGCTCCAGTTAGAGGCCAAACTCTGCTGTGGCTCTGGAAGCTCCCTGCCTGCCCCTCCCACCCATCCATGTCACATGACTCAGCAGAGAAGGGAGAAGAGACACGCCCATTTCCTTCCAACAACCCCCTCTCTCCGACAAAGCAAAAAAAAAAAAAAAGCAAAAAAAAAAAAATCCTTTCAGTCCTGTCCAACTTTCAAGATTATGAAAAAGCGTCAGTGTTGGAGCGTTGTAAGGTGAGCTTCAGAGGAGGAAAAGGCAGAAACTGTGTGTGTCTGTGTGTGTCTCCTCACTGAGGTCTGCCTGCAGCCTTTCAGCCAGCTGAATGTCCTTTTTACCTCCAGGGATCATTTACAACCCTAATTACCTGGCCTGACCCTCTCATCTGCTCCTCGGGGCTCAGCATTCATCACATCCCTTTCATTCCTCTCACACAGACTTGAAACACAACTCATCCCACAACAAAACCGGGATTGACTTCACGTCTGCTGGCGCTTTGCTTTGAGTATTCAAAATTTTGACAAATTCGTGATTTGGAGGAAACAAACATTCAAATGTTCTGCAGATGAAGCAGGAACATGGAGGTTACCATCACTTCAAAAGGTAAAAAAAGTGATGAAGTTAGAAGCTGAAGCATTACATAATCAAATATTAAATTCGCTAATATGTTGTCAGTTAATAGGGTGCAAATGATCATGAATCTCATGATTCAGATCAGATCAAGGACAGAATTTGGTGCATACCGCTGTCCTATCAATAAAGGCTACAACTCACCCCGACACATTACTCTAAAAATTTTACAAACATATTTCTAATCAGCAGAAAACTCGACTACCATGACTGATTTTTAAAAACATATTTTTCAGGTCTGTCCAAACTAACTTTAGTTTTCGGAGAAGAGATCCTCTTATTCTGTCATTCTCAGTTTCATCTGAGCCTAAAAGGATTATCCCTTTAAATAGAGTGTCTTAAAACTTGTGTGTTGTGTTGAAGAGTCAGGGATACATCCTTTCCTTATTCCCTCAAACCTGAGAGCGAATCAATTACTCTTTCTAATAACTGTTCTTACGGGGTTTGTACATTTGTGTGATTACAGAGGATAGGAAACAGCTGTCTCCAGCCTCCCAGCAAGTGTAATTACACACCAGTGCAGAGGATCGAGTACCTTACAGCCACACAAGCACACACACACACACACACACACACACACACAGACACACACGGGGCAGCACCTGCGTTCCTCTTCACATGATGAAGAGTTGTCTTTCTAAGAAAACAAAAAGGCAGGACATGTTGGACAGATGGACTGGACTGAGTTCTTTACAATGATTAGATGGGAGGATAAACTTAAAACTCAAATCAGTGCTGAACCCCAGAAACAGCCAGTGCAGAAAATAAACCCCGACAGTCTGACCGATCTGGCCTAAAACATTGTGCGCTATACCAACATACACACACGAGATTAAAAAAAAACACACACACTCTCAGAGATGTCCTTGTAAGTGTGATCAGAACCAGGTCTAACCAAATATGGAGTTAAAACGAAGCTTTGTTATATTAAGTTTTACAATGTGGGGAACGATGCATTTTCCCAAACTCAGGGCCCCTCGTCTTAAAGCCGTCCAGTCTGTGCCGTCTCTCTTTTCATCTCCCTCTCTCTGAAACTCCACTTTATCGCCCCATAAAAAAAACCCGACTGACAGGAGTTTCCAGGGGGTTTAAAAGATACAAGAGAGCTGCCTTGACTCTTTCCTGACAAGAGCTCTTTAGGCCTAAGGTGGTCGGGATGCCAGAATTTTAAACTTTGATAAGAAACATGCAGAAATCTCCAACAGAGTTTGAACTCTGTGATCTTTTGTGATTTAAAAGAAGACAGACTTATATTAGAAAGTTACTTCTATACTTTTTATCGCCAACATGGCCAGGGTATGTAGGGTCAGATCAGAATACACCTGAACAGCCTTTGTTTATATTTTACACATTAAAATTTCAGTGAGTTGTTAACTGGTTAGACAAGAAGGAAGGAGGAGATTTTTCTGCAGCTGATACTTCATGTGCATGTACAGCATCAGCAAAGTGAAGACTTGTTACACTTTCCTCAAAGCCGCTGCTGAATTTATCACAAAACAAAAGTTTCAGTGTTTCCTTAATTCAAAGCTTCGAATAAAAACATCTTAAAACTTAACAGCGAGCAATAAATCAACCCTTCAGTAAAATATTATTCTGTTGTAGCCTGTGTCAGCTAAAAGATGTTATGAGTGGGTTAAAAGGGCATTAAAAAAAATGATTACTACCCTGTCTCCTTTTGCTCTTAAAGGCCATGACTCCTGAGTGAACTCTGCGCACACACAGCTAAACATCGTTTGTTTGATTCGGCATCAGTTGGCATGCTCCTTTTTTTATGGAGTTGCTGCCCTTTTGCTTTAAAAGAAAGGATTGTAATTTTGACGAGGCAGGGGCTGGATCCACACAGAGTCCGTGGCAGAGGCTGATGTTTCAGGGCCGCGCTGAGCCAAGATGGTGTCATGTATTGGCAGGCAGAGTACGGAGCTGCCTGGCTGACCCCTGACAGAGTTCCACACAGCTGTCCAAGGTCTTTCATAACACAGAAACATGAGGAATAGCAGGAGCATGACTCACTGGGTGCATTATATTGAACGCTTCACTCGCTGCTCTTTTTCCTCTTCAGGGAGAGAGCAGAGAGTTTGCAGAGTTTAAGCATTAGGAGTTGTAAAACAACTGTAGCAAAAGGGACCACAGTGACCCATCGGACATCTGCTAGGTTGCTTTTAATTCTATGATACAACACCGAGTTAATGACCTATGTAAAAGAAAATCTAACATGAGATTGGTTTTAATGATTTAGAAGTATATTTAGCAGCACTGTTGCACAGAACATGTTTAGTTTCTCATGAATAGTCGAGTAAGGGCATCGTGTGTGTGATGGTCTTGTGCTTCCCATGTGAAAGTTGTGGGTGGAGACCACAGACTAAATGTTTCCTTTGTGCTGTTTTAATCTAGCCGACTTTGACAATGAGAATAACAAAAGCTCCGTACAAGATATCATACACTGAGTGGACCTATTTATGCGATTGTGAGGGGGTGTGTGCCGAATAATTCTTCCTCTCTGGGAAAAGAAGAAGAAAAGAAAAAAATTACTGGAAGCTTCCTCTACTGTTTGCTGTACTGTGGGATGTGTACATGTATCAGCACATCAGGATACAGCGATTCTGCTGTGAACTGTTTCTCAGTGTCAACTACAGTTGGCCTTGGAAGCAGGTGTGTGAGGTTGACTACCTGTGTGACAGCATCTCCTGCTGGTTGCTGGTAGAGTTGCAGCAGTGGAAGCTCATGAACTAGACTTCAGAAAACAGCAGTTACACAATTTCAGCTCGGCCTCATTATGCAGAAAATCAGGGGAGAGGAAAAAAGGAAGTTGTGTAGGAATATCTTTGCACCAGATTTATAATGGAGGCTCTAAAGAGACGTATGATGGAAATTTACACCCTCTATGAAAGGGAAAGCTCTCTCTGGAGTGAAACTGTGCATCCTGGTGAACCACTGCTCTCAAACCACAACAACAACAACAACAGCATCAAGTCGACAGATTCATCATGCATCGTTTTCACAACCACCTTACAAACATACTTCCCAAATTTGGTGACCTATCTAAGCTGCAAGATTTGCAGCCACTCACAGCACGGCTCTGCACCAGTCTTGTACCCAGTCCCATCACCAGTTCACCACGACAGTTTTACTGCTGCTACAATGATAACTTCAATCAACACAAGTTGTCTGACCACAGTTCTGAGGCTGATACTGGAATTACAGCAAAAATACTGAAAATGTGTTAAAAGTGTTTTTACTGTAAATGAATCTCTTTTAAGTGATTACTAATAAATCGTCTATTTGCTTTTCCACACAGTCCAAAATTCGCATGTTTATTTCCCTCCCTTCACATTTCCCAACAAGAGAAAATCTAAATGATGTTTTCATTTCTACCAGCATAACTAATTGTTTGGCAGATTTCCTTTGCAAATACAGAAGGGCTCGCCCAAACAGCCACAACATCAAATTTACAGAAACAAACAACAGCTCTGGTTTCAACACTTTAGATTACAAAGAAGCCGTATCCTTACACAACTGAAGGTGAGCTTTTTGCTTCTCTGGTTATCATATTTTTAATTTTTAAGCGTTATTAGGTCATCAGCTAACTGATGTTAGCCTCCATGGCTAATTTGGCCACCTGTAGTTTGTTGACTGCTTCCCAGACAAAATCAAAGTGTTTTTATTTCTACCAGTATGACCAGTTTGGCAGCACAATTAGCCTCAGATTTATTCTGCAAATAAAGAAGGCTTGCCCAAACAGCCACAACACCAAACTTCCAGTAACAACCAACGGCACTGGTTTCAACACTTTAGATTACAAAGAAGCAGTATCCTTTAAATGAGGAACAGTTCTTCGGCTGATCACACCGATCAGAAAACTGACTGCAGCACACAACTGAAGGTGAGCTTTTTTTTATTGGGTCATCAGCTAACTGATGCTAGCCTCCATGGCTAATCTGGCCACCTGTACTTTGTTGACTGCTTTCCAAGAGAACTAATCTGGCACTTGAATTATAAGATGTCAAAAAAGTGCTAAACACAGCTGCTAGACAGAGTATTTTGTTGTGAGTGAGCCAAGCTTGTCATGTTGTGTATTAATAAGCTGCAAAAAAATAAACTGTTAGATAACACTCCACAGCTGGGTGTGTCCTGGGTGGTAGCCATAGAGAATTTTTATCAAGAAAATGAGTAGTAAATGTAAGAAGCATGTTGTTTTCAGATTGTTTTACAGCTCTGCAGCTGTTTTCACACCCACACCTCTGCACAGCCCAGCAGTGAGGTGTCAGATTTTACACAAAGTTCATCTTTTTATGCGCACACTATGTATAAAATAAATTTTAGTACTGATAAATAATGCTAACTGTGAGATTTTTCATCTTTTTACAGGATGGTGAAGATGACAGGAGGAGTCTCATGGTGGTGTGTCGCCCTGCTGTTTCCTTTGACCTCTGTGTCTGCGGTTGAAACGCTGAATTCTATTGATGACTTGAAGAAAATCGACTTCGGCCAGTCTGTGCCTGCACACACTCTGGTGCTGCTCTACTGGTTCGCCCACACAGTTGAAATCAACAATGCCAACGTCATAAGGCTCACCTTTGACCCTGAAAACGGGGATTATGGCTCCCATTATTACAGCAACTTTGAGAGACTGTTGGACCAAACACCTCAAGGACATAGGTACTACAGTGTTGGAAAACTCAATCAAGACACATCAGTTCCTCTCCCACCTTATGTTGTGAATCCCAGGTGGCAGTTTAGGGCTGAAAACAGGGACAGAATCATACTTCAAGTCAGGGGGGAGAGGGTACACCAAGTGTACATCACACAGCACCGAGGGAAGTCTTATGACCCAGATCATACCTACCACATCACTGCAAACCTCCTAAGGCAGATCAGAAAGTTTCCTCTCAGAGGAAGTGTTCAGACTCTGGTGCATCTCAGGAACCGCTTTGGGGGCAACGCCAGTGTTTACCACATCAGAAACACATGGGGAGATCTTGCTTGCCTTGGACTGTTCTTGTCTATTGTGATGCAGAAAGACAGACACAATGCTCTGGATACTGAAAAGGTCTTAACTCGTGTTCTTTTGCTGATCGTTTTAATTGTTGTTATTTACCACTTCTTATCACAAAAGGAAACAAGATAGCAGACTAATTGGGAACAAGAACAATGTTTCTAGATAATGCTTACAAATACAAAGTACACGTCTGGATTTTTATATTTCAATACAAGATGAAGATTTGTCGTCTATCAAGAAAAGAGGACCAGAGTTTCAAGATGTTGATAATATAAAAGGCTTAAATCACAGCGAGAAAGTATTCCCTGACTGTCTGCCTTGACTTGTCTTACTAGGGTTAATTTCACTATGTACCAAATGGAACTATTGAGTACTATTCACCACTAAATAAAGATTAGTCAAACACTTTGTTTCAGTTGATCTATTTCACCATTTGTCAAACTGGTATTATTTAGATTTAATGACTTAAAATGGGATAAATTTATTAAATCGAATTAAGGGGGGAAATATTGGAAAAATCTGTGCTAACAAACTAGACAATTGGAGACCTAGAGAGGTGGTTCCCAAAACAGGAGGTTCTGACCCTTTTAGGGTTGTCAGTGGATATAAGGTCCACTGTAAAAACTTGGAGGGGGGGGGGGGGGATATGAATGACACTGTAATATTGGAATGAGCCCAAAAGAGTTCTTAGAGAAATTGTCTAAAAGAAGACAATAAATTCAATAAATGAAGAAGATAACTTATCATTAATTAACTACAGGAAGTATTTTTGTCATAAACATGAAATTAGAGAAATTTTTCTAGACAGGGGCGCAGCCAAAGCATGATTAAGTTTGGGAACCCCTGACTTACAGGACTAAAACCACCACCACTGCTGCTCATATATGTCCTCTCTTAAACACATAATTCCCGGCTCACTGTGAAACATTAGGCGGATATATAAAATCTGGACACAAAATATAAACACTCAATAGTAACAGGCCTTCTAATATGTCACTTCACTCCCTTAATAAGGAGTTTTGACACTGATTTGCACTTCAACAGACTGTTTTACAAACATTTATGTCTGAACAGAAACCTGAATTTAAATAAATCAATTGGGAGCCAAAGATCACAAAAACATACTTAAACTGAGCTTTATGGATCATGGAGGAAGAGTGAATGATAGTTGATCTTTAATTCTATAAATGGCTGATAATTAGTCACAAACTTTCACAGCCTGCAGTCCAAAGTCCACACCCAGCGTTTACCCCTCCGGCTCATTTTACATTTAAACTGCCATTCAAATTCCATTATGACTCACAGAATTCTTCACAGAATCATAACCACAACTACAAATAAAAGAACAACAACAAATCAGCTTTAAGTATTTCTACAAACACATAAGTGGAAGATGCTGAAATACACTGAAAAAGGAGAACTGATTTTCTTTGAGCTGAAATAAGTTTTATCCAAATAGTGAAGTTATTACGCTCCTTGTAATCACCCGTCCCACTTTCCTTTAGTTTCACTTTCAAGAAACAGCAACTTAGTGAGTTTTTCCTGCTCTGCCACAAACTCTGAAACAAAACGTCTCCTGCCAGCAGACCAGATCAGGTGAGCTCTCATTTTCTTCAAATATCTGTTGAATGAATTAATTTAATTAAAATTTTTGTACCAAAACAGATTGTAACCTTTTGAAGATAAAGAGTTGTTTTGAATTACTTGAATGCAAGACAGCACATGCTTCACTTTGCAAACATGTAATTTTAACTAGTGCTGGATTGCTGTAAACTTTTAAAGAGGTATAAGAGAAGAAGTATAGCGTCTGAAAACTGCATAATCCCCCCTCTTATATGTTTTGACAGGATGGTGAAAATGACAACAGGAAGAGTCACACTCTGTGTTTTAGCTCTGCTCTGCGCCCTGTCCTCTGTGTCTGCGGTGGAAAGGCTTAATTCTATTGATGACTTGAGGAGAATCGACTTTGGCCGGTCTGTGCCCACACACACTCTGGTGCTGCTCTACTGGTTCGCCCACACAGTAGACATCAACTATTCTGGTGTCCAGCTGACCTTTGATGCTGACAATGAAGATTATGGATCACATCATTATGGCAACTTTGAGGGAGTCTTAGACCCACTACCTTATGGACAAAAGTACTACACTGTTGGACATCTCTATAAAAGCACATCATCTGTACGACTTCCATCTTATGTGTTAAATTCCAGAGAGCAGTACAGGGCCGACAACAGAGACAGGATCATTTTTAGAGTCAGGGAGCGGAGAATCCTCCAAGTCTTTATCACACAGCATTTTCAGAATACAGACAACCAAGGGACAGTGTATGATCCACGTCATACCTACGAGATCACTCCAAACCTCTTGAGACAGATCAGAGAGTTTTCCATGGAGTCATACTCTCACACTCTGCAGTCTCTCAGGGACCACTACGGAAGCAACGCAGACATTAACCACATCAGAAACACATGGGGACACCTGGCTTTCCTTGGACTGTTTTTGTTTATTGTGATGGAGAGGAGGCAGCTCCGGCCAGCTTATTATCTACAAAGCGGAAGGCAAGAAAACAGGCCAAGCTATGAGAGGAACTGGAACACAGGATCAGCTGCTAACTACACCTCAACCTCCCAAGACGATTGGCCATCGGTGTGCCTTTTGCTGTTTCTCCTTGTCGTCTTCATCATTGGTTTCTTAGTTTTTGCAGCCAATTCACCAAATAGAAGATTCTGAAACAATCTTGTAACATTTGCTTGCAACAGAGGGCTAAGGATGTTTGGAGTTGAGTACCTTTTAATCAGTCACTCCATGTTTTCAGATTTAATCACTAATCAGCACATCTTGTAAGTTGAGGAGATGTTCGGTGAATTAACTATGTTCCATGTTTGCTTGGTATAAAATTTGTGTGCTTTGACCTTAAAACACTGATTCATACATCTGATGTTAATGTCTTAAGGTAGTATTCTGAAAAGGCTTGACCTGCCTGTTTTTTAGTTTTATACTTTTTTGATGTGATTTTTTCCTCTTTTTTTTAGACTTGAAATGACAGATGAGTGCATTTATGTCAAGCTTTTTTCAGACTTCTGACCTCTTAAGGGGATTTTATTATACATGCCACATTCATCTGTTTATGCACTGTCGTGTGGTGGAAACAACTAATCTAACAAGCTTCTTATTCACACGCTTTAAGCTCTGCTTTCAGAAACTAACTTAGTTCAATATCTTCTCAAAGACAGGGTTACTTAGACGCGTAGCATACTGCAAGTTTTTATAGTATAACACCAAAAAGGAGGTCTCAGGGTTTTAACTCCTCCTAAAAAAATCATTATAAAAGTGTGACTCACCGTATCGACCAACCACAACTCATACGACTCCTGTACTTTTGTTAATAATTACAAACATCTGTCTTTGTTACATAAGTATATGATCTAAGAGAAATGTATGTTTTTTTATTGCACTGCTCTGAACTCTAGTATGTCTTATCTTTACAGTTATAATTCACTGCTGTATCATTTGAGTTGAGCATGAATCCAACTGGTTGGGCTACATGTTTGGGTTTATTAGCAGGGTGTAAAGCTACTTCTATGTATGTCACGCTGTAACCACCAGCTGGTGGTACAGCTAACAACACGAGGAATAAAATACACTGTTTCCAAGCTGTGCATTTCTCTGTGTCTTTGTCAGGAGGGCTGATACAAGCCTTGGTGAAAATGAGGTCCAGAACTCTTTGAATAAATCCAGTTTTAGGAAAGTCTAAGAGCCCCTGACTTGGAGGACTTAACTGCCACCCCTGCTGTAATCTTTCACTGCTAGTATAAATCAGTCAGCATATAATTTCTGGTTCAAGATTATCAAGGCAAGTATTAAAACTGGTGAAAATCTTCATAAACCCAATCAAAACATACCTGCAAGTATTTAATGATTGTAATAATACACCTTCCTATGAAAGACAACAGCTTTCATGCAAAAAATAACAAAATTTTCAGACAAGTACTTTACTGGGAGACAAAAATTAAAACAACAACAAACAACAATTTTAAACTGAGCTTTGGATCATGAAGTAATCTGTAGTTGATCTATGATAGCATTTATAGCTAATAATTAACCAGGTACAACCCAAAGTAGTAGTTTCATACACTGCAGTTCAAAGCTGACAGTCTGGTCTATGACTCACAGATTAACTTCACTTTTTAATAAAAACAACAAAATAACCGGCTCTTTGCATTTCTTAGAGCACATCACTTGAAGGGGAATCTACTTCTTTTTCTGAGAAGACGGAAGAAGTTTTATAAACTCGCTGTTACTACCAGTAATGTCCGATCTTCTTTAGTTTCATTTCCAGACAAACGATGACTGAACGTGTTTTTCCTGCTCTCCCTCGAGCGCAGAGATCAGACGTCTCTTTGCAGCAGACTGAAGAAGGTGAGCTCTTGTTTTCTGATTATTTATTGTTTCATTTTACATGACTTTTACGTAGCATTTGACCCAGACTTCTTTTAGAAATACAAAAATACAAAGCCCAAATTTCGCACAAGAAAAAGTAGTTATTCAGGGGAATGCTTTTCTGGCTTGATTATGATCTATGATACAGTTTGATCGAAACAACTACGTTTACTCTGTAACAGTCAAAAAAAAGAGAAAAGATTGGAGCAAAGAAAAAACAAGCAGATATCACAAAAACTAGCAGAAACTGGACTGGTCCACAAAAGTGAGTCATTGAGAAATTGTCAGGGTAAGAACATGATGAATACTCCACAAGTGTGAAAATAATTTAAATGTTGTTACAGGATGATGATGAGGATGATGACAGGAAGACTCTCTTGGTGGTGTGTGGCTTTGCTCTCTGCCCTGTCCTCTGTCTCCGCTGTCAAAAAACTCAAATCCATCAATGACCTGAAGGAAATCGACTTCGGCCAGTCTGTGCCCACTCACGCTCTGGTGCTGCTTCACTGGTTTGCTGAACGACTCATCATTGATCAGAATAATGCAGTACTGCTGACCTTTGACCCAGAAAATGGAGATTATGGCACACATCATTATGGCAACTTTGAGGGACTACTGAGCCCACTGCCTCGTGGACAACAGTACTACACCATAGGAAATCTCAACCAAGACACATCAGTTCCACTTCCGCCTTATGTGTTAAATCCTCCAGTTTTGTTCCATGAAGGAAACAGGGACAGGATCATCATTAGAGTCCGTGGGTACAGGATACAACAAACCTTTGTCACACAGCATTACGAGAGTTCAGACGGCCAAGGGACAGAGTACGATCCACTTCATACCTACCAGATCACTGTGAACCTCTTAAGACAGATCAGAGAGTTTTCTCCAAGAGAAGACCTGGAGCAACTCATGAATCGATTTGGAGGACACTTTGATGCTTCCGCCATCAGAAACACGTGGGGAAACATCGCCTGCCTTGGGCTGTTTTTATGTATTGTGACCAACAAACCATTCTATCAGAAACAACGCAGCAAACCCAAACCAGTCACACAGGGACAAAGCAGCAGGCCCAACATCTGGCACCACCAAGAGTTTAACCAGAACAGGGAAGTACCTAGTAACAACACCTCAAGACCCTGGATCCGCAACCTGCTCCTGTGCCTTGTGCTTTTTGTTGTCGTCCTCATTATTGTCTTTGTTTCACTCCATGAAGCTCAATTACTTTAAGTATAAGTGTTGCTCAGTGATTGAGAAACAGGTTTGTTTACTATGCAGGGCCGAGAGTCTCCATGGCATCAGCACAGCTCATTATCAATGTAAGGAGATGATTCACCCATAACTTTGATTTCAACTTTGATCTCAAGGTGTCCTTCAGACGCCATTAATAGTTATATAAACCAGCCGGAAATATTTTTTAAATGACAAAGATAAACTTACTTTATGTGGGGCATTTGTTTGACTGTTTGTACTGTATGCTTTCCTCATTCTTTCAAACAAATTTACAAAGTGTTATACTGCTGTACAATGCTTCCTATTGGCTGATTATTCTCACACATTCCTACACTGCAGGCAGTGACTTCGGGAAGACATTTGGTCCAGTTTCTTGCCTAAAAACAAGGATACTTTCAGGTGTAGAATTTTGAAAGTTTGGGTTTTCTTTGGGTTTTTCTTCTAAAGATGTTTAAAAAATAAATAAGGGCGGGTTATCTTATCTACTGCAAAACTTGCTTTTTGTTTGGTAGTTTTATCTGCTACGATCAGTGCTCTGGTATGTCTAAATTATCAGTAATGACTCACTGCTGACTCCTCCTGCTTCAGAGATGAGGTAGTTCTTATAAATCTACTGATAATACTGATAATACTGATAATATGAAGATTTCAGAAACAAATTTGTAATTGTCTTATGCTTTTTTTAAAATTTTGTCTGTGGTGTAGAAATTGTGCTTATTGAACTATAATTTATGAGCCAATTTATGACCCTGTTTTAAACTTTTTTTTTGTAAACTCCATCTGTAAGAGTCAGACATGTAGAAACTATGAAAAAATGAGTGTCCTTGTTTTATTACTCTGTGCCTCATGCAAAACACACCAACAAACAAATTAAACTTATCTGTATGACCGTTTCCACCCCTTGTGACTTTCACAAGTCCTCGTTTGTAGCCAAGTCCCAGGCAGTCCTATAAAAAGGCCTTTATGTGTGTGTGAAAGAGATGAATTCTGTTGTTAAAGCAGGGAAACAAGGTTAGTGCTCAGCAGGCTGGCACGAGACTCACAAGATCATAAGATAATGAGTCACTATTAAAAAGCACTGCAGATTCAGCTTCAAGAAGAATGCTAATCAAAGATCCCTATCACGGCAGGTCGAGTTCAGAGCCAACCCTCAACGACAAACAGGGACTAAGGTCTGCAGGAAAACCAGACTAAAGCTGACATGTTCAATCATCTGTTCAAACCATCTCCCAAACAGCTGCAGGTCAAAGATCAGAGGACTAGATACGCTTTCATGCATTCAAATATATCTCTAAAAATGAAACTCACAGTTATCCACTCTGTCATGATGGGACAATGATTTCAGCCACATTTCAGCTAAGGTGATGGGGTTCATCTCTCAAAGTTTATGACTTTATAGTTTGATTGTAAAAAACTGCTCACCAGTATCAGATCAAAGTGATAAGAAGGCTTGTAAAAAGTGACACTTGAGTGTCCTATATTTCATGTGTAAATGCTGTACTCTGAGGGGCAGCTCGTCCAGCTGAGAACGTTCGACCCAGCAGTCCTTTAATTTGATGCATTCAAAACATCCACATAGCCCTGCAGGAGTGCGCCAAATATGGTTTGTATGCAGTGACAATTACGCTTCATCCCACCTGTTGTGTGTGTCCGTTCAGCGCCGCCCTCCATCACACCTGCAGCTCTTACACAGCCAAGACAAAGCCGACTGTTCTCATTAACAGGTCTATAAATACTGACCATTTGGCACAACGATTCAGCACCTCATAAAGATGGCAGAGGAGACAGACAGGCATTTCACCTGGACTGTTATAGAAGAGCTCAACATTTCTGCTGGGTAATCAACATCCAAATCAAACTCAGCTTCTTCTATGCGACAGTAGAGTCCGATCTCCTCTATGGCAATGAATGCTGGACCCTGAAGCCAACCCTGGAGAAATCCCTAGATGGGTGCTACACCAGGATGTTGCGTGCAGTGCTTAACATCAGCAAGAACGCACATGTAACCAACAGAACACTATACGAGGGAATACCAAGGGTGAGCGATAAGGAGAATGAGACACTGCCAAAGGCATCAGGAACTGCCAGCCAGCAAATTGGTGCTGTGGGAATCAACACATGGGCATCGGTCACGAGAACGTCCATATACTCAAGAAGGATGCAGGAGCTCAGAGTACCAACGAACTGGGGAGATGTATGGAGAATCGGGACGATGGAAGGCTTGTCTGAGGACGACCTAGAAGAAAAGTGTCCTAATCACAACATGATGGTGAAATAGATAACCCAACAAAAGAGCAGATTCCTGCAGATGCTGACGTCATGAAACACTTTTATGAAATTAGTCATATTGTTATTTGAGGAGATCTGTTCTTCACCTGAGTTGACTCAGCCTATTCAATATGATGGATCTTTGAGGTGTACGAATGCAGTAAGTCCATTTTTCTGCACCAGAACTCTTTGCAGGTTGGTATAAAATACAGGAAACCGTCTTATTTTGTGTCATGCAAAGTTTTCAGCAAAGTTTGCGTTTTGCCACGAGTATTATATCCTAGTAAGGTAACATCCCCTCACAGCAGCGATGTGAAACAAGGTCAAAGCTAAGGATAGGAAACAGAGATGAGAGGTTTACAGAATAAACAAGTGTGTGTGTGTGTGAGTGTAAACATGAGATCACATCCTGTCAAATCATCACAGGGTTGGATACAGCTGCTCATCATTATCACCGCTAAATCAACCAAAGCCAAACATGTCATTACAGCACCTTGTGCTTTACAACATCCGCTACAAAAACAACCTGCCTATCAGCACGCTCATCATCAGAAACTCTTCCCTTCAGGCGAGCCGTTCTTAACCCTGTCATCTGTGCGAGGATGACTGTGTACATTTAATACTTAAGACAAGCAAAGACATTAAGAGCTCAGAGGTGGGGAGATGCAGGTGAAACATCAGACAAGTCAGGAAGCAATGACATAACAGGAAAAATGGGACAAACACCAACGTCCTGCAGGACTCACCGCTGCAACAACCTGTGGTTTAAACTGAAAACTTTGCCAGTTTTCCATTCAATTTCTTATTTATCTGAAAATTCAAACATGAAAAAGAGAAGGTCTGAATCAGTGCTGTGTTTACTTGTTGAGGATATGGAAAGTAAACTGTAGGCTTGGGCGTGCTGTCAAAGCCGTGTGGTCTGACAGTTAAGTTTTTACTTCCAAACTGGAACTGGACTGGAGGTTGAGGTGGGAATTTCTCGTTTTTATTTTCTGCCCTCAAACAGACTTGTTACAGGAAATCACACTCGCTCTTGCACGCTTTGTGTCTCTCCCTATTTGTCCTTTTTCCCCTCCTCTCCAACTCTCCCCCTGCCTCTTATCTGCTCCTCTCTTTTCCAAACTTTTTTTCGAGCAGCGCCTCCCTCCCACCACATGCACGACTGAGCAGGAAGGTTGTAATCTGAGCTGAATGTGGCAGAAGCTGAGACTTAATCCCCTCACTTTTTTTTGCTTATTCCCCCTTCACTAAGACAAGAAAACATCCCAGATATTCCGCATGCATTTTTTCTGACCGATTCACTGAAACTACAGTACAAAAATATCTTCAGCAAAATGCGGGTGTGGTATAAAATCAAAACCGGTGTGTATCAGAGGTGCAAAGAAGAGAGACAGAGAGGCACAGACAGGCAACACAGTGTAAAAAGGGGAAATTGGAGGCTTTCTATTTTTATGCAGAATGTTTTATGACCTCCAGATTTGGAATGTATCACCTCCCAGCCGCCTACGCCTCAATACTTCTCAGCCAGAGAGAGGAAGGACCCACGAGCGCAGCTGTCTCCAGAAAACAATGCTACACGTGTAAACACATTCAGACACACAACAGCAAAAAGATGAGCTACTCACATGAGATAAGTGTTATGAAGATGAAATAGTAAAATCAAACTGTGAGAAAAGTGAAGATTTCAAAGCCACTGTATCAAAACCAGCACCGACATAGCGAGGAGTACTGTATTTTCCCACCATAACAAGAACCAGCTGAGCTTCGACTCCAAAGAAACGTCATTTAAAGAATCACAATAAATCTAAAAAACTGTGGCTGTGTTGTATTCAGTCTTTAACATGCACGTACTGTCAGAAAAAAGTTTAAAAAAGGAACAGATCTTCACCCGTGGACCTCATCAGACTATTTTTCTGACCCTAAGGTTTCCTCAGGTTAGATGGGTATCAAACATTACTCTGGGACTTAAGGACCTAACTGTTACTTCGTCATTTTAGAGATTTTGTTATCCGTTCGATGGTTTGTATTTTGTTCTGGGGCCTTGGTTTCACTTTTTGGAGTCACGCCCACCAACAGTTATATCATCGGTATTCACGGCCCTGTCCTGTGTGGCTGCAGCACAGCTTATGCCCCTAGAGTCCAAAGCAAAGCAATACAGCAACTATAATGCTGTATTGTATGTGTTCACATAACTTTAATTTATTTTATAAGGTGTGACCTCAGGATGGCGCTAAAAGAAAGCATATTAGGTCCCTTAAACATAAGATCCAGTCTAAACTAGATAAGATTCGCAGATAATGGTTTATTATCAAGATCAGGGGGTCACCAAAATTATTTGACATCGTTACTAGAGACATAACTGTTCATGTCCAAACTTTCTACCCCACCTGCATATAAATTAGGACTGATCGAATTCAAACAATCACATTTCAGCGTGTCAACAAAAGACATTAAAATAACTGTAAACTGTGAGAGCCTATCTGCATCGGAGTTATTTTATTGGTGGTTGAGTAAAGTTTAAGCGAGCCAGGCTTTCCAGCTGCTCGCCTGTGTGAGTTATTTTTTCACTGCTGTCCTGGGATCAGCCCTGGGATTCTCATCACCACCCTCACTGACCTACATTCACAGTGAGTCTGGGCTGACAAGCTCTCACGGACTCCTGCTTAGATCTTCGAGGCTGTTATTTTTACCTCTCAACTTCCTCCTAACCTGAGTCAACAGAAACACTGAAGTGATTCCAGGTTTTAAATGAAATCAGTTACATGTCAAATTTGTGTCAAACTGAATCAGACAAGTCAAAATAAAATCTGAGGATGTGACGAGGTTGTAGTTTTTAGAGCGAGGAAACATGAGCTGTTAGACAGTCAGGAGGGAAATGTTTTTGCATGTATGTCTGCATCTTCAAGAGGCTTAACAAAACCTCATAACTTGTAGAAACTGATTGGGAGAATTCTTGACAACTTCATTGCTCATAAACTGCTTCAAGTCGATCCAGAGAGACGCACCACAGTGAAACCAGTAAAAGTAAAGAGATAGGTATACAAATGCAGCAGCAAGCTTGCAGACAAACTCCCCTTGCTGTAAAGAAAACAGTTGCTTTTGTCACTATGCTACAGAACAAATAATGAGTTACCCAGAAGGGCAAGGGGAACTCATTAAAATCACTCCATGTAGTTTGAAAAACCTCCTTCACATATACAAGACATTTCTACATTAACACATCCTCTTTTGCAAAAGTTTGATAAAATATACCACCTTTTAGATTAAATGAAGCTGATGTTTTTGACTAATATGGCTCCTGCATTGTGTAAACATTAAGATTTACCTGCCATATGATACTTTTAATGCTTACTTAAATCAAGGCAGTTCATGATTGTCAGTTATAGAGCGTCTTTCCAGAGCTTTGCATGTGCCTATTAAGTCAGCATCAGTGTAAACTTGTTCTTTGACAGTTTAACAACCCACTTACACTCCTAATTTGGTGGATTTGAACTGAACTAATTAAGGAGACCCTCCACTTAAACCTGAAAGCAAAACTGACGTGTGTAGGGAGCTGTTAAAAAAGCCCCACAGACTGTAAAACTGAGAAGAATCTTAAATATCCATTACACTCAACAATTAACTTTAAGTAGCCGTCGTGTTAGTTCAGAAAACCAGGTGAACTGGGCAGGTACTTACGGTCTGGTGGTCTGGCTGTGGGGGGCTCCGAGACAGGAGACTGCACCCTCTCCACCTGCGGCTCTACCAGGGATGGTAGAGGAGCACTGGGAACAGGAGGTGGATGGCTGTTATTCTCCACTGCACTGCCTTGAACCAAACCATCTGGTTGTCTAAAGACGGGCATCTCTGGCCTCCTGAGGGCGCCCTCGACTGGGCTGATGGCCGGGGATGGGGGTTCTGCTCTTCTTTGAGGGGGCTCTGGGATCCTGGAGACTGGGGCTGTGGTCAGCTGGGCGTCCATCCTCCTGGGAGGAGCGGGTGGCTCACTGGGACGCGTCATGCTGAGCTCTGCCCGTCTGTTTGTTGAGAATGAGTTGGAGGAGGTATCCAGAGGAGTACTCCGACTGCTCAGGCTGACCTCAGGTCGTTTGAGGCCGAATCGAGCAATACCGGCACTTGGTGAGTTGTCAATCTGCTTTGATGAGACTTCAATGGAGATTTCTGTGCGGCGGGCAGAGGCTGCATCCGGGTTACGACCACCTGATAGGTCAATTCGCCTCATGCCTGTCTTAGGGGAGCGTAGGTTGGAGGACTCAGAGGGAGAAGATCTGGATGAGGAGTAGTCTGAGCTGCGAGAGCTCAAGTCGTAGCTCCGCTGGCTCGAGGCGGAGGAGGTGGATGAGCGGAGAGGGTTAGTGGTCCTGCGAGTTAGGGGTGAAGGGTGTGTGGATGAATCTGTCTCCTCAACCTCAAACGACCGTTTTAGTGCTGGAAAACACAGAAAAACTTGGATTAAACAGCAGAAATTACAGCCAGAATTGTGTTGGTGTATCATTGGAGCAAATTACAGGGTCTGATTGTTTTGCTAACAGGAGAAAACATAACCAATCAGATGATGCAGCGGCAAACACAAACACTACAAAGAATTAAATATGACAAACCCTAGTAAGGACAGCAAATACACGTGTAAAGACAGAACAAAATCAAGTGCTCGGTTTAAGAAAATTGCTTTTTAACATCATTTTGAGATTATCTGTCCGTCTTTCTTATCTTCTTAACAGTCTCAACCAGTTGCAGTAAACATTCCCCCCTCTTCTTTCTTTTTGACTTTGATAAATAGTTAGTGTCGTATTGAGGTAAATTTTAGAGGACAGACGAGTGTGTCCTTCTTTGGTTAAAGATTTTGTGTGAGAAACACCAGCCTGTCAACAACAGCATCTGATATCTGTCGATATATGCGATATGGTCCAATTCCATATATCATTTAAAATATATTCATATATTTCTTATATTGATATATCACCCAGTCCTAATTTGTGGCATTATTGAGAGTTCAGATTTCACTTATAAGCCCCTAAAAGTTGATTTAGAACGAATCAAACCCTGGTGCAGAAACAGAAATCCCTCTGCTTTGACTAAAGTGGTCAAAAATAAGTTTCATCCTACCTCAATGACTGAAAATACTCAAATAAACTGACAGTGTGAGCAAAACTACATGACAATGCCCCTCCATGTTATCCTGTCAATACATTCATTAGCATTGACACGTCTGGAACAAACAAAACTTTGTTCTTCGAAACTGCTGCATATGAACCACTAGATCAAAACTAACTTGACTTCACTGAACACTGCTTAAAGAACATTATTTGTACAAGCTGCTTGATTAAATTAATCGATTAAACTTAGCCGCTGTACATGCTAATCTTACCGGATTTCACACGCTTCGCGTATCTCGATAACATGGCGTTCGCTCGGCAGTTACTAAATCCACTCGATAAAAAATACGTATTTATGTCGCGCAGTGGTTCCTAATAACGTGTTGAAACACACACCGACCACTAAACTAAAGATAGTGCTCTGCTAAATCCTCCAGCTAAAGTTTTTGTGTTGATAACATCCTCTCTTCTTCTACCTGATATAAAATGGTAGCTAGTACGTCCGCACCTGTTCCTCATGCTGTTGACATGGCAACAACCAAACTGATTGGCCACGTGACCACGACCGTTAGGCAAAATATTTGAAATATCATCGAGTTGACTCCGCTTTTTAAACATATTTGACTCACATTTACGTTCATTATTATTTAGCTGTCTATTTATTTACTCACAATAATTATTTTTGTCACATTAACTCACCAGTACGAAAAAGAAAAAATAATATTCAAAAAAGAAAAAAGAAAAGAAAATCGTGTTTATTCACATCTCAACATGTTAATCAAGAAACCAAAATGCTTGCTTGAAATTAAATGGTTTTGAAATTCAAAGTCCGATTTTGAATCAAAAAAAAATTTCAGCTTTCGAAATTCAAATTCAAAACAGATGGCACAGATTTACTTCCACATGGATATCAGAAAAAAATGCTTTATTTAACACACTGCTTTATATTTAAATTTATATCTTTTTAACTATGAGACATTTGAACACGTCATTGGCACCTTTTCAGCCATATGAGAGAAGTACACATGGCCAATTTGACCCTCTCTCACTTTAACAATGAGACCATCAAGAGATTTATAGAGAAAATGGCCCACAAAATAAAGTGATTCTCGTCAAATTTTAGTATGAACATGCTCTCCCACCATCACAAAAGTTTAACTGTGTTGATCCCATGGGAATACTTTTTATTTGAGAAAACTTGGCTTGAAATGTCCTGGAAGAAAAGTTGTCTACATTCTTCTCCAAGCAACAAACTAGTCACACGTCAGTTTTTGTTAAATTCATTGGATGCATTGATAAAGGCCTAAAACAAAACAAGGATTAGAGTTTCTTGCCAGCAAAGTCAGTGAACCTCCGATGCTTCAGCTAATCTGCTGTGGCTGTGGATGACAAACTGATACTCGCAGGACTCATCACTGTATGAGGCAGTTATGAGCAAGAGCTCGGGCAGAAAGCAGTGATAGCATATGCAAAGTGTCACAGACCACATAAAATGTGTTGGAGTGTGATTTTGATATAATGAGCTGTTAGCCTGGGATTGTACTGATGGTTTGGTGTGTGTGCCTGCGGTGACAGAAACATCCAACACAGCAAAGTCCTCACAGACACAGTGGAGACAGAGACCCTGTCAGCGAGGCTCTTTCTCTCTGTCACTCAGTGTGTGTGTGTGAGTGTGTGTTTAAACACAGCTGTAGTGTAAAGCAAACACAGCCTGGGCGACCCTGGTTGGAGACAGTCTCTTAACCTCTGTTGACGTCGTCGCCTATAGCATCCTGGGACTTTAATGTGCAAGTGTATATATGAAGATTGATGGAGAGGCCACACATTAGTACATTAACTACAGAACTTCCTTTAGGAGGAACTAAAGCTGCATTTCCACCAAAAACACCCAAAAGTTTCAGTCTAAGAAGTTTGTCTTGAGAGGTTAAAAGGTTCCTCCAGCTGATTGTTGTTGGTGTTTTAAGTGTAAAGATATGTTATGTAAGGCAAAATATTCTGCTGACATGCTAAAGGGACTCTGTAATTCTAAGTACCAAAGTATTTTAAGTCCCATCTCACAAGTTCCTGTGTTTTCAAAAAGTACCACAACCACAGCAGGAACCTTTTAGTGTGTTTCACTCAGACCCGATTGTTCTTTGTGAGTACCTGAGTGACTACATATCCTGATCCCTGGAAACGATAATCAAAACATGACCTCAGGGCTTTTTACCCCTAAAGGGTTCCTGATAGGTTGGTGGTACCCTTTGAAAGTACAGGGTCTAGCTTTACTGAAAATTGGCTTAAAATTCCTAGTTAAACTCAATGGGTGCCCAAAATATAATTCCACGGCCTATTTACACTGCTTTTTTTTTTTTTTTTTTTTTTTAAGTCCCCAGCAGGAACATTTTGGGGGTTCAAAAACAGTTCCTGGAATTTCATCTGATGGTTCCAGGAACTTTTCAAGAGATAAAAGGGATTTAATACCTTAATAAACTGTTTCCATGACAGGGACCAGGGTCTGGGGATACATGTGACCAAAAGGTTCCTGCTAAAGATTTAGTTTGGTTTAGATAATAGAGACTGTGCATAATGAAATTCATTGTTTATACAAAGAAAAACAAGGACATGGCTGCACCATATGTAGCCCCAGAGGGGTTGTTCCTGTTATTCATACAGGAACTTGCAGGGTACAACATTTCTGAGGAGTACTAACAACATTTTAAAGATGCTTTCATATGTCAGCTGACAAATTTCTAATCTTTCATACCATCTTTAAACTGCTGTGGAAACCCAGGCAACACAGAGCCAGAGGAACCTTTTACACTCTTAGAAATTAGCTCTTAGGAATAAAAGTTCTGGGTATTTTTGGTGGAAATGTAGCTTTTGATCCCTTTCTCTTTGAGTATCTATGTAATCAAGATTATAACTTTACTTATCTCTACAGTGTTACAGAAATTAGTTTGTATAAGTTGTAAACGTTATCTTTTTACACTCCTGTTGCTCTGAAGTTAAAGCTGTAATCACAGCCTTTCCAAACACTAAAGTTTGGTTCTCTCTCTAACCGCTACCTCCCCCTTTCTTTTCTTCTCATCTCACCCAGAATTATAAGAAAAAGCTTTGAAGATTTCTGACCTTCATTAATGTCGGGCACTGTTCTAAGTGATATCATGTAAACATGCCTGCAGACCAAACTTCCAAATAAGGATGACCTCTCAGCCAAGCATGATGTTTCTCATCCAACACACACGAGAAGATATGAAACTCCCAGAAAATCACATGATGATGATGATGATGTTGTGTTCTCCAGTGTAGCATGTACTGGATGAGCACCGCATGGACATTCTCAACGCCTCTCTGAGCGTGACAGGAGAGGAGTGTAACGGATAAAAAGATGAAGTCTCTCCTTTTGTCTTCATTTGTCGAGGAGAACTGATAATCAAAGTTCTATCAAGCTGCTAATTTAATTAAGCGCAGTCCAACAACAACAGAGGGCTCAATATCTGTTAACAAAGAGTTACAAAACTGGAGATTTTCTTGGACTCACACCCCCGATACACTGAATTCTTAATATATCTTGTGTGTTTATAATATAGACTTATAATATAGACTTACCAACAGAGGACCTGTGTTAGTCATGTAATCTGATTCTTTTATATACAACAGAGAGTCACCATCTGGCAGGTGATTGAGTTCAAAACAGAGAAACATAAGGACAGCTCTCCAAGTTGTATGTATTCATTGAGTGGCTTGTATATACACACAACTTTGAGTGCTGTCTTTACATTTTCCCATTTATGGATACAGTTTTAGGATTCAGCACCCCGTTATTACAGATCCAGGAATGGAGCTTTTTCTTCTCACTACAACATGTGAAACAGGACTCCAAAATGAGCTGTTTTAAGAGCTTACCAAGGCCTTTGGGGTCTTTTCAGCCAGTGGTTCTCAACTGGTCTCACTCTGGGACCCACATTTTCCCATGGTCCTTAAGTCACGACCCACTTGTACAGAATTCAAACCAAGCAAGAATTTTTTTTTCTATAAAAAAAACCTTTAAAGACTCAAATCTTTGACATAAATACACCCATTTTATTTAGTAAAGTGCATTTCAGAGCACACAAACTGAAGACGGAAACTACAATCTGGTAAAACTCAACACAAGAGGGCTTCCTCTTGCTTGGACACTTCTGTGAAGTCCTCAGATTTTGGGGTTGTCTCTGAAAAAACTCTACCGGCTTGTCTTTATATGCAGGATGTTTTGTTTCCAAATGGCGCTTCAGTTTGGACGGTTTTATGCTCTCATTTGCAAGCACCTCACTACATATTACACACTGGGGTTTCTGTCCCTTATTAACCTTGATAAACGCAAATCCACATTTCAAATGGCCTGGGTCGCTTTGCCATCTTACCCCCTCTTCATGACACAAACTCTGCATCGAGTTAATGGTTGTTGCATTGGCTAACGTGAACATGAGCCTCTCAAAATAAGCTATGTTTCAGAAGAAAAGACATGTCAAACATCAGTTGGCATTAAACATTTACTTTTTTGACCAGCTGTATGCGACCCATCCAGAACGTGTCCACGACCCACTTTTGGGTTGGGACCCGCCAGTTGAGAACCACCGCTCTAAGTCTACACAATATTGATAATGCACAATGATAAACTGTGATTTTAATTTATATGCACTTTTATTTTTGATTGCATATGGATTTGTTTATATCTTTATTTGTTGATACCACAGTAGAGACACTACAGTCCAGAACAGTTCCCTCATGAGTACAGGAGAGTGTATCCCAATCTTATCCTCCATTCGGCTGACTTCACACATGCAGAGTCACTCCCCATACATCTGGACTCATCTGCAGGAGTTGGCTATCCCACTGTATGATCGGAGCAGATATTAAACTATCCTCACCATAACCAACGCAATCCAGGGTGTCAACGAATCGACCACAGCTAGAATTTGGGGACATTTTCACAAAGCAGCCAGTTTGATGTCTTCAGCACTTACAGCTGAAGTTACTTAAAGTCACCATCAGAAACAAAAACAAAGGGTCTGCGGTTTGTCACAGTAGCATAAAAGGGAACTGGATGCCAGAAAATGCTTTGGATCACAGGAGTAAAAGCATCTGGCGCTTAAATACAGCCTCAAAAGCCAACTTTCCTCCCTGAAGGCGACTATTACGGCCGTCAAGCACACTTTCCATTCCCAAAAGACCGAAAACAACTTTCTTCACAGTGCACAAAAGAAAATCTATCATCACATGCTAGTTGTTTTTAGCCCTAGCATGCTGACTTTTGATCACCGAGGGCGCTTTCTTGAGTTTTGCATCAGTGTGGGTTTCACTCCTCGTGTCCAACATGGTAAAAAACTCAAAAGGGTCACGACAAAGACCTGCTGTGTTCGCTCCACCTCAGAGTGACCCTGGGTTCCTCCCTGGGGCTCCCATGCTGTTGGCGTCATGGGCAGGAAACCTTTTCCAACAGGGGACTGAGGGGCTTATTGATAATCCTGCTGTGGTGGGAGGCTTCTGAGGACGGAGATAACCAGAGGACACTTCCTCCCTCTGAGGTGTTATCAGCGAACTTCCCTGATGTTTGATCACAAGACAAGAGTTTCACTGTTACATTCACGCCACATTGACTCTTTTCTTCTGTTAGTTAAAGGGAAATTTCCACCGTTGCTTCTTAATAGCACAGTTTCAGAGCATTTAGGGTCACAGAGCACAAACTAACTTTGACAGAGTTCCTGAAAAAAATCCCAAACCACAGCTAAGTGGTAGTTGCCTTATAATAACAGTTTTCCTTTAGGAGGGCTTCATGATCCCTCGTCCAATTTCTCACGTCAACATAAAGATGTTTTGTCCTACAAAACAAGACGGGTCCCCTAATTTAGAGGCGATGTTAACAGTTGTCTTGCATTTGGTTTGAGGTTTAAGGTTTGTAAATAAACAAAAATGTAACTACAAATCTGTGAAACCTGGAGTAGCTCTACACAGCAAAGAAGAACAGCATCTCTAATATCCGTCCACTCCTAAGGTTGATCAGGACTCTAACTTTGTCCCTGACTTTGAAAAGAAGTGTTGTCCCCGTGGTTAAAGAGAGAAACCGGCTGTGCTCAGATCCACTCCTCCACAGCTTACCCCGACATTTTCACCCACCACAGAAATCCACTCCTGTGGAATTTCCTTTCACTCAGCCTGTGAATGCCCTTAACATGCAGCCTACAGAAACAGGGAGAAACAGGGGAAAGAGACTCAGTTTTATCGTCCTCTCCCTCGAGATAGCAACTAATGTAAGCCAGATATTTTCAGGGATAAAAGCCAACTAGTTTTTCTTTATTGCAGATATTTTTCGCTGGAAAAGGAGATGTAAGAAACCACTTTAAAAGAGCGGAGTGACTCTGTATGACTGTGTGTGTTTTCATTGAGCTGAGCGGGAAGCTGAGTGTCCCGGTCAGTGATCTGGGTCGGTTTGTGAGGGTGAAGTCACGGCTGAGGTCATCAACCTCATGGGCGTCATCAGCTAACACCAACTCAGACTGAATCACACTCAATAATGACAATGAGAAAACTCTCTGAAACTTCACAAGATAAACTCAGACAGCTTTGGCTTTCTGGAGTCAGTGTTTCAATTTAGGAATAATGTTAATCTGCTGGGATTCTGCGTTATACACTATAAGTAGGCGTTTAAGTCGCACAAACTGCAGCAACAATACAGCAGTGTGAGCCTCAAAGAGTAAAGTGAGAGGATTAGGAAGAAGTAGAAGAGGATATTCATAAATAGTCAATGTTTAAATTAAAGTACAACCACCTGAACATGAAACCCTTTCTAGGAGGCTGCCATCTTGTACTTTCATATTTCTACGGTGGCCCAAAACAAACTAGTAACCGACACATGTTTGTTTTTAAAGAGTTGTAGCAGGAAACTGACCAGTTTGTGTGCAAAAGAATTTGGAAACATTCAAATGGAAAATCAAACTTATGCAATCAGGAGCTTTTTGCCCTTGAAGGCCACCAACCCTTCACTGATGGAAGGGGTGAGCAAGGGAGCATTTTAAAGGGATACTCCGGTGTAAAATTAATTCAGGGTCAAACACACCGTAACACCAAGTTAGACACCCCATCGAGAGATGAATGTTGCCGCTTGCTTCTCTAGTTATACCAATTTAGCAACAAGCGCACGATAGTGATACACAGCGGTAAACAAACCTCAACCAAAACGCCACTCTATAGCCACAAATGATGCTCAGAACAGCACCTAACTTCATTAACAGGACATATAGGGTCCAAGGCCAGCCATAGGACTAGCCACCAAATTTCTGATTACTTTAGCAAAGAGACTAAACACAACTCACCTACTCTCTTCTAGCAGCTGCTTCTTTGTAGCGAAACTTCGGGCCAGTCCATTACGGACTACAGCGGGGTGACGTAAATCCATGCATGTGTTATGCATTAATTTGGATACGCAGAACAAGATACAGGATCCAATTTTCGTCCCAACAAAAGTCAGTAAAAGCTAAATTATCTGTTGCAGATTTTGCCAGATTTTCCTGCAGAGCGAAAAGAGCGAGAAACTCCCCTAAACGTGGTACATCCTGTGATTTAATCTCCTCAAAGTTTCTAAACTTGAATGTTTTTAATGCTGAATTTTGTCGCCCTCATTCTTACCCACTTGTTGTTTCAGAGCACTTTAGGCCTGAACACTAATATTTAGATGGTATAAGTGATTTTATTATGTTTGTATAACCTTTAATGAGCCTTTCTCGTTTGTTTTTACAAGATTTTTTTACAGCCCTCCACCACACCCACAAACATACAGTACTTTTATGTTTCCTCTCTGTGTTTTGTTTTTTTAGTATGTGGACTAAACTAAACTCTGATTCACTCTCCTGCAGCATCTGTGCCATGCTGTACTCCCTGAGCCTCGCAGAGCCATACATCACGGTGACACCGAGGTCTTACCACACACTCGGCCCATCCAGGAGCAACACACACCACCGACAATGACAACAGACGGTCTTTTTGTTGGTGTTACACATGAGCGAAGGACGGCTTCAAACATGACTCCGAACCTCATGGTTAAAACACACTTTTCCTCCTCTCCTTTATTTTGAATACCACTTATCTTTCTGCTCTGCTGCACTGAGTAAGCCTTCAATGTAAAGAGCAGCAGTCAGAGAGAGGCAGAGAGTCCCCCGTACATACCACGAGCTAACTGGTGTTGACAGAGGGGCAGCCCTGGACAAGTGTGGATGTGTTTCTAATGGCTGTGTGTGTTTGTTAGAGACAGGAGACTGATAGTCAGATAGGCCGCAACTCGGGGGAGAGGTGTCGGCCTGTCAATCCCCCACCTCACCCACCCTCTCCCCTCCAGCAGAGGAGAGAGAGAGGGGTCGAGGATGGACGAGCCACTGAGAGAGAGGGGGAAGCAGAGCCGGAGGATGGAGGAGGAGGAAGAGTGGGAGGAGAGGGATGACAGGGGGAATCTGTGGGCCAGGGGCAGAGGGATGAAAAGAGGGAGGTGGAGGAGAGGGGGGAGGTGTGCCAGGTGTTCCCCTCACGGCCGTGCGGTCAGAAGCTTTCCTCTGACTCGACATACAGTAAACACACACAGCTCTTTGCCCTCTCTACTATGAAGTTAGCTTTGATAGAGATTGGATATTTTCGATTCTGTGCACTTTCTCTAAGCAATATTATCTCAAACACCCAGGAGGCCATCTTTTACTAATACAGATGCAGCAAATTATCAAAAATCTAAAAATGAATACCTTACTTTTTCACAGAAGTACCATTTTTACAAAAACCTGAAACTGTACAAGAGTGTATGTACATTATGTGTACGATGGAGACTGTTATGTGAGTTAAGTTTGACAGTTAAACAGATGAAAAGATTCAAACTGTCCTCCTGCATGAAGACCACCGTCACGGTCAGCAATGTTCAGTTTATATGCAGCTGTGAAGCTCACATGAAACAGCACTGCCATTTGCGTCTTCAAGCGCCATCTTCTGGGTAAAATACTGAACTGGTCACATTTGTACATGATACATCTCACTGCAACACAATAGAGGACGACAGTGTGTCCACCTGTCAGACACGTCAGTCACGCCCCTGTACCACCAGGGAAATGAGGACACTGGTGCCCATGGGGTCTCCTGGACTTTTGGAGCCAGCCCTAAAAGAGGGGACACTAGAGTTTGCTGCTTGGAATAAAACCATTAGAAACAAGAGGTACCACTCTGTCCACAGGGGGCGCCAAAGTCGACATAAACCAAAACATCATCACAGGAGCTTTAAGGTATAAAAAACATCATAGTTACTCAGTTTTACACAAATGCTGCAAATGTAGACGCCAAGACTGGATCATCAGGTGCGTGCAACTTTAAACTCGGGTTTTAGTCGACTTTAATAATCCACATCCATCCAAATATGACTGAACTACTGATAAAAACACTCTGCATCTTCAAGAATCGTAAAAAAGGAGATATTGGGTCACACTGTTGCATCGTCATGTACTCACAAAGTCTTGGTTAGGCATTTCTTTTCTAAAAACACACACACTATCTCACACACACACACTCACAGGTCTCAAACTAAGTTCAGGAGAAGTTAAAAGCAACACTTTCAGCAGGATCGCACTATCAAAACACCGCCGCTCAGCTCAGACGTCATCAATCCCTCACTCTGTCTGTTTTTCCAGATCAGATCAAACATGTGGAAACCATCTATAGTGTCCTCATGGCAGGGTTACAGAGTGCCTCACTCCACAGAGTGACAAGAAGAAGAGCCGAAAACGGAGAAAACTAACCTTCAAAGTCTGATATGATCCCCTCCAAGTGAGCGTTGACAGTGGAATCAGACATTTTGGGGAGCGGGTGTGTGTGTGTGTGTGTGTGTGAGGGTGTGTGTGATCTCAGAGAGAGAGAGAGGGAGCTGGGTTCCCTTTCCCCAGCGAGGAAAAAGTCTTCCTGGGGCGAAGTCCCGCTTTCAAACAAATCCCAAATTAGGAGCCCGTGCAGAAGAGAGGAGGGGAGCGAGGAAAAAAAAAAAACACTCAAGCTCACGGATCCAAACCCCTCGCTCTGTCTCCCCTCTCTTCCTTAAAGCTGCAACTTATTTTTCTCTTCTCCTCCTTCTCAACTTGCACACTTAGGAATGGGCGAGCGATGTCAACCCCCCACCCTCTCTCTCTCTCTCTCTCTCTCTCTTCTCTCTCTCTCTTACTCACTATCTTCCCTCCCCCCTTTCCTCCCTCCCTTCTTTCCTCCCTCCCCTTCTGCAGCCTTCCTCTCTGACTCTGTGAAAGCTCTCATTTTTGACTGGGCTGGTCCAATTATACGCATGCTAACATTCGAACACACTTCCTGTAGGCCCGATCACATGACTGACACACAGTCAAAGGGGGAAAAAAAGTAAAACTGAGATTTTTTCTTCTGTTGAATCTGCTTAAATCATCCTCATAAATGAAGAATCACATAATAAAGACATATACGGTCCAACTTATCTCACAGTGGATGGGAAAAAAAGTTGGAAAAATAAATCCAGAGAGGAGACAGATTTAAAGTATGCACTAATATGGTCAGGACGGGCTCACACAGGCGGTCAGTAGATCGTCTGACATGCTCATTCGCTCTGGAGGCAGACATCAATAAATAAGTAGCCTAATGACTTAATGACTGTGTGAATGAGCCTCTGTGTGGGAGTGTGAGGGGGGCAGAGGGGGGAGGAAGGACAGGGGCGTGGGTCAGTGTGTGCTCGCAAGGAAGAGGGCGGATGTGGCAGTCGGGGGAGGTCTGTATCTAAGGTGTATGTACGCACATGTCCAGAGACTATATGTGAATAAAACGCCATTTCTCCTCCTGCTCGGAAAAGATAAAACCACTGTCTTTAAGAGGTATAAAGTTCTGCTCTTCCTCACCCCCTGTGAAAACTGGAATTACACAGACTGTAAAAAGTGACATTTACGACAGGGAGTACATCTTTATGGCCCATGTAAGGAGTTTAAGGCTGATTTTGAAACACTAAGATTAATCCTCATGCCCTTTTATGAGCTGCAAAACAAAACAGGACCATCAGCAACAACACAGAACAATCCCTATATTGTCATTTTGGATTCCTGCAGCTGCTGCAGGGCTGGATGTCCAACCAGATGTTTGACAGCACACTGAAGAAACAGCCTTTCTCTACATTTACAACAGCCAGTTTTCACAATAAGCGCATTTACAGAGACTTTTGAGGATCCTGAATTTGCAACCTGCAAACCTTAGAATGAAAACTGAATACTATGACACTATCCTCCACCTTCTGATAGCTGGTGGCAGCAACAGCGTCTTATTTTGAAGTGATCAAGAAACTGAGTTTTGTCTCTGAGCAATGAGAGGATGAGCATCAAAGTACTGACCTATTCATGGCTGTGGTGGACAAGTTGGTTAACCGCGATTTGCAGTTGCACAGTGAGGTGTTGATAAACATCACGTATACAAGCAAAACTAAGATGCAGCAACTGTAAAGTTGGTATCAAGCATGCATACAGAGAACCAGGTTGCTCAGTATGCATGTGAACACCATACCCTGAATATGGAGAGTATAAATTTAGGATGCTCAGTGAGCGACACATCTGACTGTTATAAGGCTCATGCAGCAGTCTGTACCAGCTGGTCAAAGTGGAGGAAAGGAATCGAACTAAAAAACAACGATATTTACAGAATGCAATACAAAGTAATACAATTAAACATAATACAAACCAATGTAAAATAATGCAGCGCAACACAATTAAACATAACATTATGCAACATTATGTAACGCATAAGAGTGCAACACAATGCATCGTAATGGAAGGAGACTATGCAAACTAATAAAATGCAATGCACTACAAAACAATGCAGCTTTATGCAATGTAATATAACATAACAAAACTTTCAGTCTTTGTGTGTCGTGGCTCCACCAGCATAGACTCTATATACTATGGACAAGTTGGCTCCGCCTTCCATCATTATACGAATTTGAAGCCGAATCACTCTTGGCATTTCAGGATTTTTCTTCACTTCCTGGAACCAACATTGCGCAGTAGTGTTGTACCTATTCAGCAGGAGAGTTGCTGTGATGAGGCTCGGCTCAAACAACGTATCCCCTGGGTGAGTTACGCAATCCTTGTACGCCCCCACACAATCTTCGTACGCCCATAGGCTGTATCAAGTGTCAATCATAGAAATCATGAACCCCCTAATAACTTTTAAAAATGGAGCAACTAGTTACAATAACCACATGTCAACATCGCAACCAGGGGGAGAAACATTTATGCTCTATGTAAAAAATGTCTAAAGTTTGTCCACAGCTCTACAGGGATTAATGGAGGAGGTGGGATTTATGACCTATACTGCAGCCCGTCAACAGAGGGTGCTGTTCTCATGGTGGCTTTACTTAGCGAGGAGGCAGACGGCGTCCATTCTATATACAGTCTATGGTCAGCACCTACAGGACTTTAATTCTCATACCTGGGGGTCCCACTAAGACTTGCTTGAAATCAGTGAATGATACTAGGAGTGATAAAATTTAAAGGTGCATCACCCTATTTCAAGAAATATTTGATATTACATTTCTGCACATGTTGAGCAAACATCCATATTGACATTATATCATAGAGGTGGATCACATTCTTGTCAAGATTCACCCGAGATAATGCAATTTTAATGACAGTTTTTACCTTTCTATCAATGCAACAAGCATTTGCATATGCACAAATTATCATCATCACCTCATGCAAAAAATTAACCCAAAGCAGATTCATTACATACACCAAGATTGCACTAATTGAGACGCAAACATTTGACATGAGAGTCATCGCTCTTGGCCTCCAGATCTCTGTGATTTTTCCTGACTTCTACCTGCTGCTTTCACTTTTCAACCCTGACTGTATCTGGCTGAAAAGTAACTGATTGCAGTGGTCTTGATTTATTTTAGAGGGTTTGGGACTGAAATGCTGCATGTCTGACAGCCGGTTTGTTGCTTACATTTGAGTCTAAGTTTATATTTTGTGTTGATTCAAACATATTTAGTGTTCCTTAACACAGATGTGCCCAAACACGTACAAATGCACTGATTCAGAAACTTTTGCAGCCTTGCTTTTCCAAAACTTGTAATCAGATATTCGTCCTGCAGCATATTTTCCTGCTGTTGATTTATGCAAAGAATGTAAGCCACAAAATGTGAAGGAGAAGTCTCAGTCTTTTTACTTTCATGAAAACTTTAGTGAAACTTTTGGAGACTTTAAGTTTATTCTTTTTATCCACAGCCTTCACACTCATGCCCACTTCTCTATGAGCATACCTGAGGTGATTTCATGAAGTTTGACGCCAACTTTCTCCAGCAGAGGTCAGCGTAACTCCTATAAATAAAACATGTCGCTATAGGCAACAGTGTGTTAGCAGTGTTGGAGCACACAGTAATGTGATCTGGAAACAGATAAAGATGGAGACACGGGGAGAATCCTGCTCTCCAGACACACCCTCAACCCACAGAGTGTGTCCTGCCCAGCGCATGTGTGTCAGATTCCTGCGCTCTCTGGCACACGCTCATATTCAGACACACTGAGCTGCATGCATGTGCACACACACACTGACAACAAAAATGTGTGCAGCAGATGCATGCAAAAATATGAAGCATGCACTGGGCCCTGCACCCAGCCCTCCTGCTCAAACACACACACACAAAACTAAAAGCACACTTCCTTCCACTGCATATCCCTGCAAGCCCCAGCAAGCCCTGACAGCGCTAATCCAATCTGCAGAAACAACTGTCGCACTGAGAGGAGACATTTGGAGCTCTGATCTGTGAAGAAGAGCTGCATTTAAACCTTCACAGTGATGCTGAAATAAAAACAGTCTAACCTGCCGTTAGCAGAAATAACTTTGCATTAGGAACGGCGCAGAACACTGCAAGGTTACATCAGGTCAGGTTAAATCCATGTCAATTAACATGTTCAGCTTCTTAAGGTGTGAATTCCTCCAAACTGACGCTTCTGCATCAGCGTCCTTATGAGTAGGAGTTCTTCCTAGTAACCATGCCTGATTGAAACTGACTTAGCAAAGAAAGTACAAATGATTTACGCCTGTTTAAAATGTTCAATATACTAAAAATGCATTTATGATATTCAAGTTCAGGGTCGTATTCAGCATCTGCTCAAATCTGGTTTAAAGGACATGCTCTGAAACTGCTCATCTTGGTGAGTCTTTCAGCATGACTGTTCCCTAATTAATCGATATCTGACTTCTTTAAAAACAACACTAAGACCTGACAACTGAAGTGCACCTTAGTCCGACTTTAATCGAAGTTTGAGAACTCTGATTAAGACACCCAGATAATGCGATTGGAATTTGATTTTCTTTACCATATAACCAGCGTAGTCAGAGTATGATCGGACAATGCATGTGAGCATGGGCCACGCCCCGGTAACCCCGAAACAAAAACACCAGAGAAGAAGAGTAGCGTGCATCTCATCTGCAGAAAAAGTAGTGCCTACATCGTCTACGACTAGACACTTCTGACGTCTGGCACGGACCTGTTGTTGTTGTATGGGGTCGGAAACAACGCTGCTGAAAAGACATATATCATTCCCTAGTTTTGGGGGGAAGACACGTTCACGTCAATAATTTGATTTTCTCAGCTTCACGTATACACGGACAAGGAGAGAAGTCCAAGTCGGCGGAAAAAAACAATTATGAGCTTAGTCTGATGAAGCTGTGCATGTAAACGCACCGACTGCAAAAGTGCTAAAACTGCAGTACCTCGAGTGACCACTTGAGGCTAAGTGCAAAAGTGCATGAAGCCACATACACACCCATTCAAAAATTAACACAGATTTTGTTTTGATCTTTTGATGCTTTGGTTCTAGTTTTGTATATTCAGGGACACAGGAGCTGACTGTAGAGACTGAAGACCTCCTCCTTATTCTTACTATGTCGTCTGAAAGTTTAGTTGATTTAGCATGTCCAAAACTCTACTTCAGAAACCGTCACTGAGACTACATCTATGTGTTAAACCGTCTATAGAAGTAATAATAACTTTATTTATATAGCACCTTTAAAAACCAGGGTTTGAGAATTGCTTTGACGGATGTAGAGCTATAAGAAAAAACGTAAAGAGCGAAGAGCCTGATTAATCTTCTCAGGCGTTAGTGTATTATGAAGAATTTAAATCAGCTGCTGCTCGTCTTATACAGCAGTGAGGTTCACAGATGAAGAGAGACAGAGATAAAACCCAGACCACCACGGTTGAGAGGAGCTCCTCATGAGAGCTGAAAAACAAGAGGAGCAGAGGAGGAGGAGGAGAGGAGAGCATCCATAAACAGAGGCCAGGCTGCAGTGACAGTCAAAGACAGTCACAGATTTACAGAAAAAGGCTTCATAACTTCGCTGCCTCCTCTCTCCTCGGTCTTAAAGTTTAAATTAAAAGTTTGAGTCCATTTTAATAAGAGGTTACAAAACAGTAAACTAAGTGAATAATAAGATGTAAAATGAATAATTTGGTGTTTAGAAAGGAGGTGATTGTTCCTGAAGTGGTTTTACATCCTCTCAGTCGGAGCAGCCTGACCCAGTTTAATCAGATGAATAATGATCAGATTATGTCAGGTTCAGACACTCATCGTTTTGTTCAACATTACGAGTATCAGCTAAAGAGGAAAGCCCAACATCCTGCTGAGTCCATCCAGAAACAACAAAGGCTTTGTCGGCCTGGATGCAGACAATCAGCCGTGAGTCAGTCTGTATCTCATAAGCCATCTGGAAGAGGTCGAGTGTGTGCGTGCTGCGCGTCGGCCGGTGTGTGCATTGATTGCGTGTGTGCTTCGTACGCATATGTGTGTGTATCTTGGACGTCACTGGCTGGTTACCGCAGCTCTGTTTACATGGCAACCTCCATAATAAGCAGCTTTACCTGGAGCAGGACTTCAGAGAGAGGAGAGGAGGAGAAGGAGCGAAGAGGAGAGGTGGCCAAAGATAGAGAAAGATAAATGAGAGGTGACACTAATGGAAACAAGGAAGCAGGAAGATTTCCCCCTTTCTCTGTGTGAGAAGACAGAGCCAGAGAGACAGAGACAGAGAGCAGAGTTAGCATGACTAATGGAATCAGCAGCTCTGGTACAGTAAACACAACCAGAAAGGAGCCTGGCGTTCAGCGCAGGTTTCTGCTTTCAGCTCAGTGTGGGAATGAAAAGTGAGGGAGAGATTAGAGAGTGTCCAACACCTTCAAAATGTTTGCAGACAAAAGAAATCCAAACAGATGAGAGTCGTTATTCAACATCGAGCTGCAATTTACAGCCGAGACATAAAGGTGCAAAAAAAAAAAAGTGCAGTTCCTCTAGTGGCCACTTGAGGCTGTCTCCAAAACTGGATCAATCTCCATAGAGTCCCATGTTTAAATATGATTACACTGTGTCTTTATTCAAGCACAAACCTCCAGTCTTAAGAAATGAATTGCCTCTTAACTATGTAGTTCACACTTTGACCACTAGATGGAGCTGTAACAATAATGATATAATAATAAATTTTATTTATAACGCGCTTTTACAGGTGCTCAAAGAAGCTTTACAAAGAAAAAACACAACATAAAAAATAGAAAATTTTGAGAAAAAAAATTGTCCATATAAAATTAATAATTAAAAAGATTAAACCAACAAATTCATCAAAAAATTACTAGGCAATAAATAATAGATACATAAATAAAATAATTAATAATAATAATCTCAAATAATATCAATAATAATCAATTACTATTATTAATAATAATAATAATAATAATAATCTTATCTAGGTTGCATCGTACACGCTCAACAACAAACTATTTTTCATTATCTCATCCTCACACTGTTTCCTCCATATCTTCATCTTTCAACAGTTCCAGAAATATCGTCCATATGTCATAAAATTCAGATGGTTAAGTTATTGATTTAGTTATTCAACCAGTGAATAAAAGAGGGTTCAAGGCTTTTAAAGTAGCTCCATGTTGTCTTGACCTTTTTATGTCCCCTCTCTCATTTTTGGCTCCTCTCTTTCCAGTTACGGTTGTTTAAAAAAAACAACATGATAAAAACAAAGATACCAAATGGAGAGGATATGCACCAAATACAATCAGGACGGAGGGTCGACCTCAGCAAACATCATGTTGTACAGTTGTAGATGCACACATAAAGTAAATCGCACTGTTTGCTATATTTGATGCAACAAACGTACGAAAGCCCCTAACGCGGCCTCTGACACCACATGCTGCATGAGCTCCGTCTAAAGTTTATGCACAGCTGTAGTGACAGCAGCTGCTCTTAACCAAATGTTACACAGCAGCACCAGCCAGGCCCCGCTAACTTTAATCAAACACAGCACCTGTTGGAAACATGCATGCACACACACACTCACACACACGCACATGCACACGCTGGCATACCCCTTCAATTACTCGGCCTCTGTGGTTTTCTGTGCGGAGAGTATTGCCTGTATGTTTGAGTGAGTCTATCGACTGTCTGCACACATGCTGCTGCCTAAATAGAGAGAGCAGCTGTCCTCCATCCGACATGATTCTCTCTTAGGCCTCTCTCTCTCTCTCTCTCTTTCTTTCTGTCGTCCTTCTTTTCAATTTAAAGACTTTAACATCAATATATACAAACTAAACATGTAGAAATGACAAAATCTCTCTCTCTTTTGCAATCCTTGTTGCTCCTCCTGCTCTCTGGTGTTGTTTTCCTCATCATGTTGCCATAGCGACTCACTTTACAGCACCAATCACGGCTCACTGTGAAGCAGCTCAGTCTAAGTTTACCTCTCCTTAAACTCAGCGGGATAATGTTCGTACAGGTTGAAGAAAGAGAAAGACAAATCAGCCAAACATCAAGAGAGGCTGATAAAAAAAAGGATATCTTAGATTTCCCAACTCTACACCGACACCTGGTGGTCAAAATGTGTATCATGGTATTAACAGACAAGTTTTATTAGTTTAGGACTTTTGCAATTTGTAATGAAACATCTAAAAGTCAAACAAACAGAGGAATATGAAACAAACTGAAACAAAAGAATAAATGGGTGCAGTTTAAGAGTCTTTGAGAGGAAAAAAGTCGAGAAATATTGAATTAAATGTTTTATCACATCCAGCTGAATCGAATGGTGAAAGCTATGACTGTAAAACTTCAGATTGAGTTGATTTTAGCCGGATTATAATGACGTGTTTTAAAATTTCTTCACTTTTGAGTCCTCTTTTTATTCCTGTGAAATGAAGTGTTTATTATCACATGATTGAAAGTGAATGCATCAACTTTTGTGGAGGCTAAATGTAAATATGCAAAACTATGAAACCCCGGATCAGCAGATTTACTCTTTTGGGCGACATTTTAAGTCAAGCGCCTCATCTTTAGGATTCAAGCCCAGGTCTGACCTCGGACCACGGTTTGACCTTTTGTGTAAAGCATTAAAATTCCTCTCTACAGTTTCCAAAAGCAAACAAGACCATCACTAACGAGATAGGGGATTTTTATATGTAGTTTTTCACAAAGACATGATAGATTTGACTGTCAGAAGTCACTACTTTAGACTGTGAAGTCCTCAGGAGGCGCCAAAGTTTATCCAAACCAAAAGTTCCTCACAGGAGCTTTAAGTAACCTGCAGCACGGTCACTTCTTCATTAAAAGGCTCCATATTTTTTCTTTAGATGCAAAAACTGAGAAAGTCCCTGATGCATTTGCAGAGTTTCTGTTTGCCGACTTTAAAGCAGGTAGAGCTGAGGTGAGATAACAGAGCAGACATGGTGGAAATATTCCCGTCATTTCTCTGAATGAAAGGAGAGTTTGACTCAAAAGGACAAAAAGTTTGGGTAAATCACAAATATGTCTGTGGTTGGCGTCTCTTAATCATTAAGAGGTTTTTATGAGGGTCAGCTCCGTTATCTGATGCGTTTGCTGCTTCAGTCCTGACCCCCGAGGCCTCAGTCAGAGCTGACCGAGTCTGTGTCAAACAGACTTTCCTCAAACATCAGCTGACCTCGCTGTGACTGGAACCAACAGGACACGTCAGCACCGTTATTCATAATCTCAGAGTGGGCGACGGACAGTTTCCGTTCATCGCTGTGACTCATGGGAGCAAAAAACACAGGAAACAAAAGGAGCCGCGCAGAGTCAGCATCGCCGCCCGGAGCGAGGAGGAGTGAATTAATCTGAGAAAGGAGGATGTGATCATGATACCAGTTTAAAAACATGTGAGAAAATTAATGAGATTATTTATTAAGTGTGAGCATGTGAGCGCAAACAGACAATAACTCATTAAGGGGATTTTTGCCTTCAGTTTGCCTCAGGGAGTGATATATTTACCCAGCAGCCTCAGCGGTTAACGTCTCCTCCCTTTGATTTCTGTTGTTAGTTTAAAGCACCAGAGTAGAAAAAGGAGGCCAATAAAGTGACGAGGAAACTCTGTGAGAGCAGAAATAAACATGTTCACAGGCTGCTGCATGAAACCATCAGTCTGAGAGGCTCTTTTCTTCATTTAAGACTCGTGCAGATTCAGCCATTTTTAGGAGCATGTGGTTGATATTGATGAAAATTAAGTGGAGTCAGCATTTCAAATATGGCGACCACCATCTTTAAAGCTGCTTTGAACACCAGTGGGGTCGTCACTGTGACCACATCCATGTTTCGTACAGTTTTAAACCTCCTCAAAACTCACTCATGTCCTCTTAGACTCTGTGGCGAGGATTAAATGTCATTATTCATATTTTTTATTGAGATAGAAACCTCACAGAGAGTGTCAGTAGTTTAAATGGTGCTATGAGAAAAAGAGATCTGGATGCTGAGAGTTAGCTTTATGGGATATAATATAAATAAATTAGAGTTTAATCGCTTCAATATTTAAGTTTCTTTACCATCAGGACACTGCAACTGTCAGTTTACACTGACTTCAAGCTTACGTGCAAATTGAGGAGGTTTTAAAACAACTGTTGGGTCTGAACACGAACATGAGTTTTACGGCTCTGTGTGGCTGCAAAACAATTTTTATTTTAGGCGCACTGACGATGAAGCTGCAGCGACTGAAAACAGGATTTCAGATCAAAGTTTTTGTAGAGCAACCTTAAGCATTTGTGCTCCTTTATTAGTTGCTTTACTTTATGTATTGTGAAAAAGAAATGCTTTTATTTTGAAGGGGTGTTGATTGTAAATTGGACAGGTGGAGTAAAAAGTGTTTGATCTGCTTCAGCTTTTAAACTTTTATTCTGAAACTTGATTATTCTGTTCTGGCTTGTTTTGAATCTTTTCAAATGTCTGACATTTTTCCTGATTCTATGGAAGAAGAATAGGGCCACTGGAATTAAAAAAAAAAAAAAAAAAGTTTCATTTTTTTAAAATTATTCTAAGGAAAAAGGGTCAGAATTCTGACTTAAATCTTTAATCTCAGAACTCTGACTTTAATCTCAGAATTCTATCTTTAATCTGTCATTTCAGAATTCTTACTTTGATTTTTAATCTCAGAATTCTGACATTAACCTTAGAATTCTGCGATAATCTCAGAACTCTGATTTAAATCTTAGAACTCTGACTTTAATCTCAGAATTCTGACTTTTTATTCAGAAGTCTGACTTAAATCTTTAATCTCAGAACTCTGATTTTAATTTCAGCATTCTAATTTGAGTGTTTAAGCTCAGAACTCTAAATTTAATCTTAGAAGTCTGACTTTAATCTCAGAATTCTGACTTGAATCTCAGAATTGCAACTTCTGACTTGAATTGCAGATTTCGGACTTTTGATTTTAATCTCAGATCTCTGACTTTGATCTTAGAATTCTAACTTTACAGTTTAATCTCAGAATTCTGATATTAAAGTCAGAATTCATACTTAAATCTCACTATAACAATTATAATAAAAAATTATATTGGAATTTTTTTCTAGTGGCCCTCTTCTGTATGATCCTTTTTACATTTTAATTTGCTTCGTCGCATACATGCCTTTAAAATAAACCCGTCCTCTCTTCTCTTTTTTGCTCTGATTGTGCATTAAAGTAGATTTTAACATCACAGCCCGGCTGGTCAACTTTTCCTTCTGGGGAAATCCGCCAACTATACAAACACACTGAGGTGTATGAGTGCATAAACACATGAGTCAACAATCATTCATAAAGAAACACACAAACTGAATGTCCTGCTGAGTCCCTGGAGGAAGCACCTGGAGACACGGCCCACAATGACAGAGAGAGAGAGAGAGAGAGAGAGAGAGAGTCACACAGACTCGCATGCAAACTTGTGAATGGTCTCACCTACATCCAGATTTAACACAGCATGTAGGTGCTACAAACTATGCAAGGTAACCACAACACACACTCACACACACACACACACACGCTGCTGCAGCTGAAGAGCGTGAGCTTCAACAATGCTCTCACTAACACCCATAAAAATACCATTAAGAAGCAGACAGCATCGCCTCACTGATGACTTTAGCACAACGCGGAGACAAAAACACACACCCACGGCAAACCGCCATCAATATACGCTGCAGATTGTTTACAGTATCTATCACGGAAAACAAAGACAGACGTGCAAAACTGTGACGGGTTTTTGTTTGCAGAGTGCGCACTGAAGCGGGCTTTTCTCTGTCCTGTTGGCTAAAGGAGGGACTGACTGATGGCCGGAGTGGGATCAGAGCCACGGGGGACAAGAGTAGTACTGTTCAAACACAGCTCTTTCCTGTTTTCACACCACAGAAGAATGGGAGAGCAACAGAAACAGCCAAGAAATGAGCGCTGGTGGAAGATTTTCCCCTGGACTTTTGAGCGAGAGATATTATTCAATGGAAAAGAGATATTTATGTGCAGCGGCAAAAGTATTGAAGTGGAAACAATGAGACCCAAAGAGGCTGAATCAGAGACAAAGCAGCCTGCAAACAGATAAACAGATCAGCTAAAACAGGTCCACTAAGCTGCTCCAGTCAGAGCTCCAAACCCCAGAGAAAACATGCAGTCAGCAAACAGGACAGAATGAGAGAGTGGAAAATACCAAAGAGGGGGAAACAGAGGCAGGCAGGCTCCTACAGAGAGAGAGAGAAAGAGACACTCGATCGATCAGAGAGGGAGAGAGAGATGAGTGACAAAGTTTGAGACGCTGAGCTGAGTCTGTCTTACCTGAGAATTTGTCCCCCTCCATATCCAGATCACTCCCTCCACAGCCACATGTAGTCTCTACTCTCTGACTCCTCTCTCTCTCTCTCTGACTCTCTCTGTCTTTTTTTGGACTTCCCTTCCTCCCTCCCTCTTGTTCCTCTTCCTCCTCTTCTTACTCTCCCTTTCCTCTTCTCCTCTCCTCTCCTCTCCCTCCCTCTCCCCTCTTTTTTGATTCCTTCAGTGTGTCCTGCTAATGAATCCAGAATTACGACATCCCCATGTGCTGATCATATGTTGCCGCTCTCTTCTTTCTCCCTCTTTTTTCCTCCCTCTGGTGACACCAAGAAACTGAAGCAGCATTGTGTCTTGAAAATAGAAACCATTAGCTCCACCATGTGACACCAACCGGCTCCTTACAGACTAAAATAACCCGCTGGACCTGCGAACTCTCCTTGTGTGAGCGTTCATTCGATACCGGCTGCAATCTCAGTCATGAAAAGACGTTCCCTGGACTCTGTCTAGACGTCCTGGAGATGAATCTGACAGCTCCGCTTTAGCAAACGTGTGGAGTGATGATAGCTGGTTGAGAAAACACCGACGTACAGGAGGGAAGCGAGGGTGGAACTATCAAAACACACTTTCCAAAATCTGTTTAGAAACAGACGATCGCTCCTGTCTGTGTTAGTTTAGAGGACAAATGAGGGAAAAGCACAGAGAGCCACAGTGTGTGTGTGTGTGTGTGTGTGAGTGTGAGTGTGAGTTTGTGTGTGTTTAAGTGTGTTATGTGACCCGTCTCTGCGTTCAGGAAACTCATTCAACCTCTGAACCTTCGGCACGCCGCTCACACTGCACCAGAGGGGGTCAGAGGTCACGAGGCGAGCGTCTGAGCCCTGATAGAGAGATCAAACACACTCAGACATGTCAGGCTGACAGCTTGTGCAACACACACCGCCTCATCAGGGAGTGTGTGTGTGTGTGTGTTGACCCGGGTGTGTCGTGTGCAAAGAGTCTGAAAAAGTGTGTGTTGAATTTTCTCTGTTTTTTGATTCTAATCCAGCTGCTGCATTAGTGATGAAACAATGAAAACCTGCACAGTGGCGGCCTCTAGTGTCCGGACTATAAAACTATCAGGGCCTGAAAGCTGTCAGAGGAAAAAAAAGAGTTTACAAATCAGTTAAACATTAAATCATCTGACCTGAAATCAGACGAATAAGAGATTTAAGGAACCTTCAGGAACTTTTTTCTGCTTTTTAGGGAAATGAGATTTTGGAGCTAAAAAGTACAGAAGTGTGTTGCATTCACTTACAAAAAAAGGAAACTGTTTTTCGTCTTTCTGTTTCTCAGACTTTTCATTCTTCTGTTTTTGTTTATTATTGTTTATTAATCGGATCATTTTGACGCTGAAGCTTTCGCACAGAAACGTTTATGTGCCGCAGCAGACAGTAGTTATTTTTAACATGCTTCCTTTAAACCCTTTAATGCCTGAAACCGCAAATTATGGCCAGAAAATTCATTTTTTTTGGAGCTGAAATGTTTATTTCATTTACTACTGAAAACCAAAAAAAATATCTTAATATCCTTAAAATTTAACAAATATATTTATTTATCTTAGATGTTTTTGGAGACTGATAAAAACCACAAGAGGACATTTTTATTGTTTATCCGACTGTGTTCAGGTGTTTTTTGTTATTTGTTGATCATATTGAGTTGATAGAAGTATATAATAGTGTGTATCAAATATGATACAAAAGGCATTAAAGGGTTAAGTTTCATTTTAAGTGCATCATAGGCTGTGTTGCTCTGGTGGTTAAAGGTCTGAACTGTCTCCTCCACAGGCTCTTCTACACGCTGATTTGACCTTTGACCCCTGGATCCAGACCTTGATGAATGGGTCTACCAATACCAGGAGACATTGAACTAACAGTTGTTAATTTTTCAGATGAAGTAGCTGAATTTCCTTTTAAAAGTTTATGTCAGCATGAGGGTTATTACTTCATAAATATTACTTCAGTAATGACTCAATTTCTCGTTAATATGAATCCTGAGTGTCTGTGAGTCAAATACAAAAGGACCTGATGACTGCCAGATGAGCTTTAACGACTCATTTGTTAACAAGAGGGACTCTATGTGCATGTGTGTGTGTGTGTGTGTGTGTGTGTGTGTGTGTGTGTGTGTGTGTGTGTGTGTGTGTGTGTGTGTGTGTGTGTGTGTGTGTGTGTGTGAACTGAGGTTACAGTAAAGCATCCCCCTCTTCTCCCGCCCACTTGCTTGTAAATCTGCCATGTCGGCTGATTTTTCTGTGTGGGGCATCTGTCTTTAAATGCCACGAGCACACAATGCACACATACACACACAGTCACACACACACACACATATAACAATCATGCCCTGTGGCTACAACATCAGCGTCAGGGAGGTCTGCTGACATGCAGGGCCTCATCCTCAGCCTGAAGCACTTCCCAACAACCCGTGAGTGGAAGTGTGTTCGCTCAAATCTGCATCTGTGTGAGTGTGTCAAACTTTTGTGTGTTAATCTGCAAACTTCATGAGTTCATAAGTTTGGAAATAAAACGTGTAAATCTGGAGAATATTTCTTGATGATGCTGCGGCACTCATTCGCTCCGACGCCCTTTCCTGATTCTGTGCGTGTTTTTTTGACCCGCAACCAAACCGGCTATCCAGATCTCTATCTGTGCGCAACATGTCTGCCGTCTCATCTCCTGTCAGCTGTCTGCGGGATGAATGAACACACACAAACACACACACTCACACACCCTGAAGCCTGTGTGTGAGTCGTGCTCGCACATCTCAGATCAGTACAACAAAGCTGGAACAAAAGGAAATGATCTCATGTTGCAGGTCACGGCTTGCGTTTTATGATTTTAAAGAAGCGGGCCATTGCAAAACACATGTCGCCTCCCGTGGTGAGTTTGTGTCTTCACGTACAGTTTACAGTGTGTGTGAGTGTGTGTGTGTGTGCAGACTGACTGAGTGTGTGTGTGTGTGTGTGTGTGTGTGTGTGTGTGTGTGTGTGTGTGTGATGCTGCAGCAGGCCTTCACCTCCTCCAGCTGTTAGGAGATGCTTCAGTGGTGAGCCACAGTGTCAGGCCTGCATAGCAACACTGCGCACACACACACTCAGACACAAACAAGCAAATAGAAACACAATCACACCGGCCCACAAGAGAGAAGAGTTTTCATTGTGGTTCGAACACTGGAGAGCGAAGGGAAGAGGAAGGAGGCCTCAACAGCTTTCTTCAAACTCAAGAGCACAAACGTACAAATATCTTCTGCTAACTTTTCCATCCTTCTGGATCTTCTATCAGCTGATGTCGGAGCAGGAAGCAGAGCCTGATCTGCCCTCTCTGCTGCAGGTTAACGACACCGACTTACACAAGACTTCACAGGAATTCAGAGAGATTACACGAGAGCTTGAAAAAAGACCGGTTAGACTTTGAAGCGTAAACAAACACGACCCGTCAGCAAACAGAGTCTCAGAAATTCAATCAGCTTTCTTCGTAGAGAGTTTTTAACTGTCCGGTTGAAATGAAGTAAATATGCAGGAATCAATCAATGCTAATAATATGCTGTAATGCCTGTAAGTAGGTTTTATAACATTTAATAGATGAAAAATAACAGAAAGTGTGTGAAAGTGTGTTTTTTTACTTCCTGCATAGTTGTGGTTTTTTGAGAGTTTCGTCCTTTTGTTGTGCAGATTTTTTTAAAGACGGCAAACTGGGACAAAAGTTGAAATTCAGCAAAGTTAAAAAATTGTGCAGTTTTATTTTCTGTGTTGAAAATACAGAAAACTGATCTATTAAAGAAACTAATTTTGAACTTTGCATGTGTATCTCAAAAAGTTAAAAATGACCATTTTTTCAGCAGAGATCGACACGTTTAGAGTCTGTAACAAAAAGATGATTTGAGTCTGAGTTCCTCATTTTCACTCCACCTCTCTCTCTGATTAAAACCTCGGTAGAGTCAACATTTCAAACACAGCTACAGACATAATCGTGTCTTCAGATACTGACAGATAACGTCTCCTCTGAGTCTAGTTTTCATACAGTCTGTGGTTTCCACAGTCTACTTACTGGGACTGGTGATTCCAGATGCTTCTCTGTCTGTCCTCCTCGCCCGGGCGCTGGCCGATCTCGCTGTGAGAGGAGCAGAACAAAATAAAAGTCAAATATTCTGCAGAATTCAAGAGAAAATCTATCAACAAGAGGTTCAGTATTAAGAAAAAACTTTTGCATTTGCTGTGAGTCTTCTTTTCCGATGAATATACCCAAACTTTTCATCCTGAGGTCACTTTAGTAATAATGAAGCTGGTAGAGAACCCTTCAGTTAGCTTTTAGTCTTTGTTTTGTGTTTCTTATCGTATAAAAAGTGACCAGAATACATATTTTATCAACTTTTTTGTCAAATCTGGAAGATTAGAGTGAAAAAACACACATAAAGCTGATAAAAGGAAATAAAAACAAGGTAAAATATGAAACGATCATCCTCTAGGACTGAGCTGCACAGATTGACTGAGGTGAGCTCTCTCAGCCGCTGACTCAGATGCATCATCCTGTTTTTAAGTTCTCCGAATGACTTCCGACCACAGATCAGCGCCCGACATGACATGACGTTCATTTTCTCCTGAATAATGCCTGCAAACACTGTGGTTTTCCCTCCTGCGTTACTGTGAATTCACCACAAAGACAGCTGCTTCGAGAGAGAGGGAGTGAACGTGGACGAGCCGAGGATGTGAGTAAAACTCCTGTAATGTGTGTGTGTGCGTGTGTGTGTGTGTGTGTGTGTGTGTGTGTGTGTGTGTGTGTGTGTGTGTGTGTGTGTGAGAAGTAATTATTAGAGATCTTTATCCAGCCATCGTCTGGTTATGACTTTCTTTAAAACAGTCTCAGATAGTTTGGAGGATGATGTTGCAGCTCAGGTGAAGTGTGAAACATAAACATAAAAACTGTCGATGTTACTCACTCTGATAAATGTTTATTGCACCTTAAGGCGACATGAGAAACAGACTGAAACTGATACTGATGCCTCTTTACGACCTACAAAAGCAAACAAGACCATCAGTAACGAGACTGAATGTTTCTCTGGTGTTTTTTTTAGTGCCTGAAACTGCTTTCAGGGGGGACGGTTTCACACTTGGTAATCGACAACAGACTGAAGAAACTGGATTTTTTTATTTGTTACCATGGCGAAAACTCACAGAAAGAGACAACAGAAGAAGAAATAAGAGTCAACACTTTGTCCACAGGGGGCGCCAGAGCTAACACAAATTAAAAGTTCCTCACAGCGGCTTTAATTTCGATGTTCAACTATTGCACAATCATCACACACTGCATGTTTAAAATCTTAATCCCATATCATAAAATCTTAGTTAAGCAACGCCTGTTTGAAGCTCCTGTTAGTGACGGCTTTGGCGCCCTCTTGTGGACAAAGTGATACTTTTCTTGTCTTAGCAGAAACTCTTTTTTTCAGACAAAAATCTAACCGTGCTTGTTCCAAAACAGAGAAATGAAAAAAGAATGACCTGCGGTGAATCTTCAGGAAGTTTAAAAAGAGCTCATTTCTGCAGCGTGATCAATCACCCGCTTTGACATCCAGCCTTCCTCACAGCAGTTAGCGACATGCGTTAAAAAGTACACATTGGAAACCATCCATTTTGATGCTCTTATTTGATTTTGTGTGTTAAAAAGACCATAAATCTTATTTTAGTCTGTTTTAAAACTCTTCAAAAGCTTCAAATAGGAGCCAAAACTTTTATGCACAAGCTTGTTTCTAATTCTCAAAGGTTTGTAAGATCATCTCGATAAAATCCACTCTGCGAAATCATCTCTACAAGATCTTTTCTTGAAGATCTTCTCTGCAAAAACATCTCTGTGAAATCATTTTGAAAGATCATCCTCAAAGATCCTCTCTGCAGGATCATTTCTGTAAAATTACAACTGCAGGATTGAGTTAATCTCAACAAGATTGCCCCTTCAAGATCATCTCTACAAGATAATCGCTACGAGATCTTTTCTTGAAGATCTTCTCTGTGGAATCATTTTAAAAGATCATCTCCAAAGATTTTTGTAACAAGATCATCTCTGGAAGATCCCAATTGCAGGATTGACTAAACAAGACTGTTTTTGCAACATCGTCTCTACAAGATCATCTCTGCATGACCATCTTTGCATATTGTTTCTGTGAGTGAATCTCAGCAAGATTTCCCCTTCAATATCATCTCTACAAGATCATCTCTACAAGATCATCTCGGCAAAATTATTCCTTCAGGATCATCTCTACAAGATCATCTCCACAAGATCTTTTATTAAGGATCTTCTCTGCTAAATCATCTCTGTGAAATCATTTTAAAAAGATCATTTCTGCAAGATCTTTGCTGCAAGATCATTACTGCATTATCTTCAGGAAGGATAGTGGTAAAAAAGCTGCAGTCTTTCATAATAGTGGAGATATTTTCAAGGTAAGGTCATTAAGATATGAGTATTGCACTTAAAATTAACCTGCAGATGTGTGTTTGTGTGTGTGTGTGTGTGTGTGTGTGTGTGTGTGTGTGTGTGTGTGTGTGTGTGTGTGTGTGTGCGTTTGCAGGTCAGAATAACCTCTCCCTCCCTTTTCATTTCAACAGCTGCTCTTAAAAACACTAAACTGGACAGAAAATCACCGAAAACTTCAAAATTAAACGTCCTTCTGAATAAAATGAGGAGAACTTTTGAACTCCTGCATAATCAGGTGAAGCTCACTTTCAAAATTTGTTCCCAATTTTCAGAGTTATTACAAACAGTCAACCAAGAATTGATGTGAACGTCCTTTTCAGGAGTTACTGACTCATTCAGGGTGAAACCGTTTTAAAAAAGCGACTCTTTTCTTCCTTTAAGTGCAAATCATTAATCTCTCATGAGCCCGGCGATGACACCATCAGTCTATTCTGCGAGTGTGTACATTTCTATTTCGGCTTTAAGTGCGTGGAAAAATGACAGAACAAATAAGAGACAGCCAAGTCGTTCGAGCCTCGCAGCCAAAAAACATGTCTGTGCCTATTTACTCCTCTGGACGGGAAGAAGGAGAGAGGCGAGGGGAACACACACACACACACACACACACACACAACCTGATGACACAAAGAGCTTCACATTGAGCAACTTAAGTTTACTAAGTAAGAAAACAAAGCCACAGAGCTGTCCTGATAAGACGGAGGAGTGAAATGATTCAGAGCTGCCGGTAGCTGTGCGGTTTCAAACGAGGACACAGTACTGACAGACACTGAGACAACATTCGTTAACCAATCACAGCGAACCACAGCGTGACATCTGTAGAGCGTTGGCACACAGATGAGAGTGTGTGCGACTGTACTCACCTGCTCGGTCTTGTCTGAGGCCACACAAACACACACTCTAACACACACGTACGCACACACACACTCGGCTCGATTCGCTGCTTGAACAGGTTTCGTAAAAATCTCCCGTCAGAGTGATCCATGTCTATTTCCCTTGAAGGAGGTTTGTAATCGTCTGAGGTCATGTTTTCCTACAACAGAGGTTATTACACACTCATGATACATGGAGCACAATCACAGCAGTGTTTACGCTCATGTGTAAAAAATCCACTCAGACTAAGGCGAGAGGCCATTTCTGCTCACCGGAGAGTAACCGGACTGCAGGTGTGTTTACTAGAAAGTGTTTAAATAATGTGTGACATCAACACTTTAGTTCGCAGACCTCCCTTTTTGACCTCTTGAGTTTGTCAATCAGCGTGCTGGTTTTCCAGAGCCAGAGGAGACGATGCGAGGGAGTATTCCGCTAAGGAGAGGAGTGAGGAGTTGGTAAATTCACATTCATCATGAAGCTCATTCAGGGTTGAAGGAGGGGAGCTGATCCAAGCTGAGAGATGGGATACACACTCGACAAATCTCAAGGCTGACAAAAAGAAAATTATTCCTGCATCCTCAGTTAATCATGATTTAAAACAACCTGGAAAACACGTCTTTGGTTTGAAAAGGGCTGGAAAATATCAGCGCATGCAAAAAAGAGCGTGCAAACTCTGCAGAGGACTTTCAGCACGCATCACAGTAATGTGACTGAAACCAACCCTGGTGCGTACCAAAATCCTTCACTCTGATTGGCTATTTGCTTTGTCAAAGGCGGCGCTTATAATAATAATGCATCAGATTTTTATAGCGCCTTATCAGAGACCCTCAAAGCGCTTTACATTGGATACATCATTCATTCGCTCACACAGTCACACCCTGGTGGTGGTAAACTATCTTGGTGGTCACAGACTGATGGAGACGTAGCTGCCATTTTGCGCCTACAGCCTCTCCGACCACCACACAACACTTACAATCATACACCAGTGGAGGACACACACTGGGAGCAAGGTGGGTTAGGTGTCAGACTAGGGATAGGACGGGGCTCGAACCGCCAACCTTCCAGTTATTGAACGACCACTCTACCTCCTGAGCTACTGCCGCCCCATCGGATCAAGAAATTTTGCACATGTAAACATGGATAGTGTCGCAATAGATAAGTAGCTTTCTGTGCAGTTTATTGCTGCACATTTCCTTTAGGAGGTACTTTAAATTTTACTTTTATAGAAATATCATCTTTTTGACTCTTGAAAGAATGAATTTCATTATCTTTTTTTATGAATTAAGTTTTTTAAAAATGTCTGTAACCTTGTTTAATTCTGATACAAAGTTGAATATTTTAAAACAGGTTCAGATGGGGAACGACTCACTTTTGGAGCCGGCCTCAAGTGGCAGTTTGAGGTACTGCAGTTAAAGTCGCCTCTCTTAGCTCTGGAGGTTGTTGCTTGATTTCTACGACTCATCGTATGTGTCTCTACCTGTGTGTGTGTGTGTCTATCTGTGTGAGTGAAACATGACCAGTCAAGTGCTCTGCCCGGACAAACATGTCGACAGATCGGTTATCGGTCACAGGTGAGTAAAAAAGGCAAACACAGGGCAAAAGGTGCAGCACTTTAACGCACTTAAAGCACAAGAGCAATCTCACACAGACCCCCCTCTCTCTGTCTCACACACACACACACACACACACACACACACACACACACACACACACACACACACACACACACACACACACACACACACACACACACACACACACATGCAGA